TGTTTTTGGTGCTAATTAAAATGAATAAAAACTTTTTATTAAGAGCCAACCAGATTTAAGATACTTTATAGTAAGTATGAAACTGAACGGGATTTTACTTTACATTTGGTACTGAATGATATATCGTTGAAGTCAGTGCCAACTGCCAGCCAACGTAAAACAAAGAAACTTTTTTTTTCTAGATATAGAAAAAAAAACTAAAACCCGACTACTAAAAAATGACGCTCTAAAAAGTATGAAGTAAGACAATATTCTCATTTGAAATTGTTATGTACAAAACATCGTCAATTAAATAAACTACTTATACGTAATATAATCTTAATGCATTATTATTATTCATAGTGATGTGTAGAGCTATGTAATTTGCTATAACAAGTTACTATGATGTGGCTATGGAAGAGCGAGATTGTCTGTCACATGTGTTTTTTACGCTTAAAAGGCGATTTCAACCTAGTTTGTAATATTTAAACATTTTGTTAATGAATAAAATTTTTTTTTTTAACTTTATTACCATACCATGAAGAGCGTGATTTTTGAGTAGTCGGGTTTTAGTTACTTTTTATAAACTTACTTTTTATTTAAATTATTTTGGCGTTATAATTTCGTGATAAAATATTTGCAAAGCTGATTTACATTTACAGAAATATTATTTATTCGTATAGAAAAAGGATTTTAATATGTAGGTAACTAAAAGATCTATAACTTTGATTATAGATAAAATTACATGTAAGTGAACGGTTAGGGAGATAATCGCGAAAAACCGACGAAGGTTGCGAAATTTGTGCGTTTTGAGAGCAATATATAGAGAAATATTAATTTTAGAAAAATGTTTTAAGTAAAAAGGATAGGAAATTTAATTTAAAAAAAAATCATACTTTTTTATGTAGGATGAGCCGTTCGGAAATATTGAATTCTTTTTTTTGTGCGATAGACTAGGGCGATCCCTCAAACTTGGCTTTAGGCTTAGAAAATGCCCCTTTATCGAATGGCAATATCGCAAAAATTGCTTTATTTTATGTAGATTGATTCACTATATTGACTAAACTATGTAAAGCTATATTGAATCAAAACAAAAGGAATAATTAATATCAATTCATGAACCAATGAGTTATTCGTAAAAATACTTACGTAACAGACGAATTACTAAAGTTCGATAAAAAATACTCGAGATTTTTATTGTGATATTACTAATAAAACAAAGTAAATAATTATTCTAGTAATATCTAAAATATATAAATGTTTGATTTTAATGGTTCTTCGAATTCTAAAACACTCATAGGCACGTGACTGTAACAAGTGGATTTCTCGGAGTTTACTGGCTGAAAGTCTACACGTGTACTAATTTTGTAAATATGTAAGTGGCACTCCAATTATTTATGGCGTATATTCTGAAATTCTATCTTTCAAATTCTGAAAAAAAACTAAAGCCTATCTTTTTCCGAACATCTTAATACAGAGTCTCACGCACACTAAAGAAATTCTAGCTATAACAATGAAATCACTTCCACACAAGCCCGACTAAATAGCACTTTGAACTTTAAGTCATTTTTTACAAAAAATGTAATCAAACTTTAAACCGAAGTTAAATATTTCTTTCTATTTCTACTATAATTGATATATAATTAAAGCGATTTCATGGTTTTCTTTAATTGTAAGATTCAATTAAATATTTATTAAATGATATAATATTTATTTGAAAAGATAGTTTTATTTAAAATATATTTATTTATTTAATTATATTGTTCAAGAGATTTTATACTTACCGTAAACTCTATCGGTTAGTTCGATGAAGAGAAGTGGCGGTGTATTCACCGCCACTATTTTTGTTGTAGCGTTATGTTAGTAAAATATTACTGTATTTTTAGTTTATTCGATTACCGGTTTAGGTAAGTTTTTTTTTATTTAAATGCAGTTATTATTATTTTTTAAATAAAGGAAGTTTAAACAGAAGTTTAGAATAAAGGAAATTAAAACTTGATAACTTCAATATTTAAGGTAATTTTCTTCCATGTCCCATCCGTTTGTTCCATCTGTATAATCTTTGAAAATTTCTTAGTCTAACATGGCGTAATCATATATTAACTAAATATATAGACACATAAAAATATAAATTTATAAACTTTTTATGTAATTTATCTTAAGAATAATAATAATATATTATTGTTCTTTAAGCGAATGGCCAGATGTAAAATTAAAGTCTTGTGAAGTAATGCAAAAACAGCTTCACGGAGATTATCTCTTGTGCTCATGTAATTTATCTACTTTTTTGTTTAAAGAAAACAATATAAAAATATAAGTTTAAAATTAATACTTTTACTACAGATTTTCTAAACATTTGTTGCGAAATAATTAAGAAATAAAAAACGAAAAAGATATATAAAAAAGTAATAATAATTTTATTTATTTATTAGTACGAATAATATTTTTTTAAATTTTGTTTCTTATTTAATTTTCACTTCAGCTGTTGGATCCTTCCTTAAATATTTCTAAGTACTCTATCGAAAAGTTTCTCATAAATAGATACTTTTTACATCAATATTTGTCAACGGCTTTTTGTTTGCGTAAATCACAGCGAGTTTAGAGTGCAGCGACATCTAAGGCATCAGGTGCGGTACACTCACGCAAATATTTTATGAAAATACCGAGAATGTAGTCACTAGTGAAGTGATTATATCTCGATATTAATAATTGTTTTAAAAAAAATGAATTTAAAAAGTTTATTTTGATTATAATATATATTTCAATATGAATGAATCTTAGCTGTTATAAATATGAAAATGTAATCTGAAATAAACTAATTTTACCATTATGATCCTAAAGATAAGACATAATACGTGTTAGAAAAATCTAAATTTAACTTTGTAATATCCATTAAAAAACTAATTAAGCTTGATTGTTTTTTTCAGTCTGTGTTTCACACTTATAGCATAAAATGTGATTTTTTAAAATATCGAGTAGAACGTAATGAGACATGACTAGGAGGGTGTCGGCGTCGCGGCCGCATCCTACAGCCAAACGGTAAACACTTGGCTGTAATCTCGAGATGAGAAAACTTTCAGTTCTCTTAATTCAGAAACTTATTCAACAACCTAACAACCTTAGAGCGGACCGCCCGGCGGACACAACACAAACAAACTTACTCTTTAATCTTTGTCTTTATTAAAATAAACATTAAAATAGAAAATATTTTATTATACGTTGTATTTCAAGCATTTTCTTAATTCGAGATCAAAAATGAAATTAAGGTAACCAGTATATTTTACTTGACATTTCTAAGTTTAAATATTGTCCAATTAAGTGTTAAAGTTGGAAAAATACCATTTTCAACCGACTTCCTCAAAAACGAGGAGGTTCTCAATTCGGCTGTATTGTTTTTTTTTTTATGTTTGTTATCTCTGAACTCCGTCATTTATTAACCGATTTGGACAATTTTTATTTTGTTTGAAAGTGTATACTTCCAGATTGGTCCCATTTAAATTTAAAAAAAAAATACCACCTCTAAGGGTGGAAAAATAGCTAATTATGAATTTAACCTACTTCTAATTGTCATATTGACTTGAAACTTTGCAAGTATTTCTATTTCCGTTGATAGTACAGTGGTTCGGTATTGTTGACCAGATCCGATGGTAAGGCCAGAAGGTGGATAGGTGGAACTCTTCAACGGCTAATAGTAGATACTTTGAGTTTGAGCTTATTTTGTTTGATTTGACAAGCCTAATACGTTAGATTTCTTACTTTGCTACTACTGTCTACACTAAAAAGGGAAAAATAAAAACTTTTTAACAAAACAATAAAAACCGACTTCAAACAAAAGCACTAAAAAAAGTAAAAAATAACTGATTAGTAGTTTTCATTTACTATACATACCTAATCAAATAACTTCGAAGTCGGTGCCAGCCGATACAAAGCAAAGCACACCGACTTCGAAAATATTTGATTAGGTTTGTATAGTAAATGAAAACTACCAATCAGTTATTTTTTACTTTTTTTAGTGCCTTTGTTTGAAGTCGGTTTTTATTATTTTGTTAAAAAGTTTTTATAATTTACATGGAATATTTTCGTATCGTTAAAGGTATTTATGTAGATTATCAATACTAATATTATAAAGAGGCAGAGTTTGTTTGTTTGAACGCGCTAATCTCAGGAACTACTAAACCGATTTGAGAAATTCTTTTTGTTTTAGCTATCTTGAGTTCAATGAGGAAAGTTATAGGCTATATAGTATATATCATATAATATATAGTCTACCTATTCTATTCTAACCGTTAAAACGTATCTAGGAACGAACTCGAACGAAGCAAGGGTGATTCGCTAGTTGTATATTATATTTTTCAATATTTTTACAAGACGTATGTATACATCATATTTTTTACTCGTGTCAACCTGATAAAATAATAATAAATATTTAGTTCATTTACATTTACTTTGTTTTTAATATATCACAATGCAAATCATGTTTGGCAGGTTGAAGTGCCGCTTTAAGAAGTAGTACTTGATATGAGCAAATGATTACTATTATCTCACAAGTCGCTAGCTGATTGCTATTTGTGCGAGGCACATACTATTTACTTTACCTACTATACAGTATACACAGAACCGACACGGAACACTCGCGTCTTGTCACTCTCCTTTCACAGAAAATCTTAAATTAAAAAATAACATATCGTATTTTCTATTACGTCTTTTTTATAATAAAATTTAATAAATTTACTTATAATATTAGTTGCCATAATTTAAACACTATATTTAACATTAAAATTAAAAGCAATGAAAAGAGGTTTTAGAAAAAAATATAGTGCACCTTCGATTAACAGGTAAATATTTATAAATTGAATTACAAATTATAGAATGTATTATAAATATATATTTATGTCATTATTATCGATATTAAGGTTTTACTTATGTATATAATAATTCGAAGGTTTTGTTAATACACCAGTTTCAGTTTAAGCTCAGTATATCTTGAACAAGGTCGATTGATAAATATTTTCATTGCTTAGATGACTCCAAGCAAACGTGTTCCGCTGTGTGAAACACAAATAGGCGAGTCGCGTCCGAGCGTCACCGTGACTGACATGGACACTGTCCAGGAGGAGAACGACAACGATAGGTATGAAATTATATTCCTAACACCAAGTATCTTATTGATTCATATTTTGTTATAACATTAATTTAATTTATTAATTGTATCGTAAACATAAAATGGACCCAGTTCTGCAAAAAACAGCCATGTGCGTAAAAGTACCAACAGAGTTATAAGCATTTTATTATAAAAAATAACATAATTATAAAAAATAAAGAATACTTATATAAATATTGTTTAATTTTAAAGTAACCAGAAAAACAAAACATAACCCAAGTGCAACTATCGACAGAAAAATGCTTATACCTAACTCTGTTGGTACTTTTACGCACATGGCTGTTTTTTGCATGACTGGGTCCAAATAATCTAACCCTGAGCACCAATCTAAGTAAGACGACAATAATATATAAACGTTAGTTATAATAAAGAAAAATGCAATTAATATTTTTTTGTTACTGGCGCTAATTTAACTATCTACAAAGCAGCCACAAAGTTAATATATGCCAACAATTTAATTAAAGTTTTTCCTTTAAATAGCCGTTTCGTTCTTTGTCTTCTTGCTAAGGTTTATTGCTTATCTTACGCGAGATCAGTTGCACGCATTCTTCTTTATTTATATCTAAAATTTTATGGAGTATAAATTTTATTTTTATTTTTCATTCGTTTTAAAGAATATTATTTTTTTATACATATCATATTAAAGTTTGCTGATTCTGTATTAATATTCTAATTTAGTAAAGACGAATTATAATATAATTTAAAGGTATAAGATATATTTTAAGTTTTTTTCATAATATCACTTTTTGTTTGTAACTTTCCTATTTATTTATAAAACGTTTAAGAAATCTAAATGTTTAGGTAAGCCTTTGAATATACTATCATGAGTAAGGTGTCATATTTTTAAAATTCAAGAGATACGGTGCGGATATGTGGAAGTTTACACAAGTATTTCCGGTAAAGGTGCACATTTTGGAGATTTCGAGACTTAGTCTCGACGTCAAAATAGTTCAATACAAAACAGTATCGAAACTATTACAGGGTGTTCAAATAGTTGAATGCTTTATTAGTAGTAATTTATGTTGATTAATTAAATATTAGTAGCGCCAAAAGAATTTAGCGTTATAGAAACTCTATATAAATTTTCAATAATTAGGAATATAAAGAGATTTGTGCTAAGTAGATCCATCTATATTTTAAAGCATGTAATTTTGCTTAATATTTCGAAGTAGATATATTTTAATATACATATATCCATTTATTCCATTCATAAAAGTTGATCGAACATCCTTTAAAAGTTCGAAGTATGAAATGCATACACAAAGAGGGATTTGGATGCAGCAGAGGTACAGAAGCTGCGAAAATATTTATGACGTTTGATAGACCGCTTTGTGTCCCATAATACGCTTCAAGCTTGTCTCCTCTATAGCTGTATATATTCCTAGACAACTAGATGTGAAGGAACCTCTTTCTTATACAAATCTATAGAAATTTATTATATAAATTGTATAAATATTTTATTTTAATACTTTTATAATCCATTTATATTATGTTTTTTAATATATTTATATGAATGCTATATTATTGTTAAGTTTTTCATAAAGAGTTAAAAGCTCACAATTTTTTTTTATACTTTTAATATAATAATCGTTTCATTTAGTGACGAGTCCTCGTACTCCGACATAGGACACTTAAGGGAAAGGACTCAAGCTATGTTGAATCCTATTATCGAGCCGCTGCTGCAGAACTCAAGCTCACTGCCTAACAGCCGCCGAGTATCAAACGATATAGATGTCAAACTGGCTGCTAATCTAAATACTAGGTAAATAATACAATAATAGTTTTCTATTTCCCAAATAGATATGTACCTACATAATAATAATTTTTATCTATTTTTGTTTAGGTATGTATTAACAAGTTACGTTCAAAACTGGGGTAGTTTCGAATAATTAAGCATCAACCATAAGTTTTACTAGGCTGTCCTGTCCGGTTATTTGCCAGTCGGTCGTTCCTCCATTTGAGGGATATCTTATTTATCATTTATATCGTAACAGGTAGCCGCTTGAAATGTTTACAAAATATCCTAAGAAATAATAAAATAAACAAAAATGGAATATTAAGTGAGTTATCTATATAAAAGTAAAATATCTAATAAATATTGTTTTAAAGGTTCTTTTACTTTTTGCTCATGAGAACTGTATTACATTCAAGCACAGGTGTAATTGTAAGTTAGTACAACTTTAGTTCAAAAGTACTTGTAATAAGTCTAATTGAATAAAGTTTATTTCATTCATTCATTCATTCATTTCATTCATTTTAAGTACATAGTATATCCTTCTCGGTGTTTTGTTGCTACGAGATATTGAGTGCTTTGTAGCCATTACTAGAGACGCGCTTATCTCAGCTTAACCGAAGAAAACACACGCATAGCATATACAAATTATTTATATACGGAATGCATCAAACCTTTAAATGCAAGCATATTTCATCATTAGTACCTTTCAGACACGCGTTACAGTTCTACGTCGATCTACGTATAATATGTATAATTAAAAATTTGTACATACATTGACTATTATATATGAACTAGCATGGCCCGCGTTACATAGCATTGGACCAAAAACCAAGTTCTTAGGTTTTACGTATTAGAATACTCTTACATTGCAGTTTTTGTATTTTTTCTCAGAAATGAGACATTTTCCCGCGGTAAAAAGTATCCTATATGTTGACCGGGATAACCATACCAAATTTCATCAAAATTCCTTCAGTGGTTTTTCTGTGATGCGGTAACAGACAGACATACAGACAAAAATTATAAAAACTATAGATTCGACCTCTGTATCGATAATAATGTCTATTTCAATAAGATTGCCCACAAAAAATAGATTCGACTTAGTTACAATTTTATTATATGTATAGATTATGATTAATGTATTGTATAATATTAATAGGCGTCCTTCAGCAATAATAGCAGCGTTCCGTCGACCATCGCAGGCGCTAGCACTATGCGCGGCGACCCAAAGACGCTTCTTATCTGAATTGACACCACATTCACGAACCTCAATGGCTTCCACCCACGAACCGCCAGCCTCAGCCGCCGAGATATTGGGACAGTAAGACTTTAATACAACTTCTAAAGCTCGCAAAATTTCATTTTTGTTATATAATTTACAACAGGATCCCAGAAAATGTTCAAAAGGCTTCTATCGCCAAATTCAAAAACGGCTACTTCAACTTGATAGAAATATTGTAAATTATAATTTTACTTTAAAAAAAGATAACAAGTCAATATTAGTCCCGCTGAGTTTCTTTCACCAGTTCTTCTTAGGTCTGAGGCTTCTTCTTTCCGAACTGGTAGTAGACTCAAGACGTTCAGTAAAAAATTGTAACAATTTAATGCTGAATAAAATATTTTGATTTGATTTGATTTAAAGACGTAGATATGTGCTGTCTTAACCTAAAAAATAAACATACACAGAGTTAAGTGAATGTAAGGGTTTTTATTTAAGCTTTAAAAAGCACATAAATCAAGCAGACCACCGGTCAGATGTGTGACGGGACGCGTCGCAAATGCAAAAGACACAGGCTCTACAATTTACAAATAGTTTCCACGTGCACTACGAACCGCAGTCTCACCATCTCATATCTCTGTTTTACTAATTACTTGTAACAAATATGATAATATTTATCATTTGAACATTTAGCATATTAGTATAAATTAAAAAATAAATTCAAATTTGTAAATACTTTTTAAATAAAAAACGTATCGTACGTTTTACTTTAAAAGCTTTAACAGCGGTGACAAAATTAGGTATGAAAAGGGTTTGTCACCCACTTTGTAAAGAATGGAGATGGAGACGAGACCTATTTCGAGGTAAATAGTATTCAGTTAGATGGCGCCACGCCGCCTGCATTATATTGCTGACAATACGCGGCACCTACATCGCGTCAACACAATTCAAAAGCCTTTATTAGTTAATAGATAGACAGATTCACAATGCCTCTGTGAGCATTCACTATATACATTTCTCGCAAATTGTAATTAAAATATGACTGAATAACGGTATGACCGTCTTTACCATTTTGCAATACAAAGATCATATAATATATACCTTGTCTTTACCTATACATGATTCAGCCTGCTTTTACATATTATGTGTATGACATTCTAATACGAGATTTCTATATGTTATAAATTTTTTAATATCGGTACCTATTATTTGTAGAAGACATGTCATAGAATAATTATTATTAAATATATATTTCAGTGAAGCTTTAAGTAAAGCACTATCGGCACTTTATGCAAAGCTCTTAGTAGTGCTTGGACTGGCATTTCCTGTTACTGAAGTAATAGCAAATGGTGTGCCCGATGCCTATTACCAGGTAAAAAAAAACAAAGATTTTATTCTAACGATGTTTTGACAACACTTTTTATTATTATCAACTCACTAATTACTTACATAATTATTTTTCAGGGATTTTATTTATATTTGTATTTAGTATCTTTAATGTTTGTTATATTTCAATATGCGAATATAATGCGAGAAAAGGCATTCAACATGATAATTAATAGCCGCGGTAAGGACACCTTACTTCAGTAATTATCTTAAATACGCTTCAACTATAGTAAAATAACAAAAATCAGTAGCTTTAGTAATTAGTCGCATTTGCGTAACAAAATGCGACATTAAAATCACATCTTATTTACATAATTGCTATTGCAAAGAATATTACCTTCTTTAGTTCGTATTCCACTAACGTTTTCAGCCATTCATTTAATAGTTGCTTGTTGAATTTTTACATATGTTCTTTAATTACACTCGAAATAGTAACAATACTAATACTTAATTGTACAATGACTACTTTTGTAGAAGCAGAAAACCAAAATGGCAATGGCAAAACGACACCAATTGAGAAATTAAAGAAAAAAGAAACTTTATCTCGATATGGAAGTTTTTATTTAAGATTAGGTGCTATAGGTAATTCATTTGATATATTTAAATTAATATTACATTTTTGTTTTATAATTCAAATATTTATAACTCGACTTTTTAACAGCATTTGGCATCGGGTCCATGGTGTACAGCGGCTTAGAATTCGGTGAATATTTTGAAACGACGGACCGTTGTAGATATTTTTTATCTGCATTAACTCCAGCATTAAGAATGGCGCTAACTCTTGTCCAGATGCAATTCATATTTCTCACAAACAAAGACATTGAAGCAGGAAGTTTTAAAATGATACAGAGATTTGGATTTATGCATTTGATAGCCACAAATCTATGCGAATGGCTATATGTACTTGTTGAAGAAACAAAACATGAAATTCACCATCTAGAACACTCAATGACTTCAAAAACCAACACTAGTCTTCATAATATAGAGGAACCTTGTAGACGGTCCAATATAATGGGAACATTAGTACAAAATGCATCACCCTTCCTTTTTCCTTGTACTATAGAATATTCGCTTATTTGCGCTGTTATTTTATACGAAATGTGGAAAGAGGTATAAACTAATATTACAGTTATTTAATTATAAAATTGTTACCGTATTTTAATTTTTATTTATTTTATAGGTTAAATGTACTCCAGAAGACTTTGAAAAGAAGTTTAACTACCCCAGAAACAAATCTCGTAATAATTCAGTCACTCCTGAAAAAATAATACAACAATTCGGTAATAAATCTGGCTCATGTCTTATTTCACATTGTTTATTAAATACTGACGTAATAATAAAATATTTGTTGTCTTTTAGCTGGTATGCTTGGCGTAAGCTCTCCTCATGGAAGTCGAACAGCACTCCACCATTTCTCTGTAGACTGCTCTCATGCACATCGAGGCCTATTCGCTGGAATACTCGTTATTGTTCTCACTATAATATCATTAATTATGTTTTTTGTACTTGCGAGCCATCCAAACACAGTTAATGTAAGACGAAGATATTTTAAAATATATTGGTGTGTTAAAGGGCTGTGTTGATTTCTAAATCATCACATAATAAATATTCTTGAAAATACACAAAATTAATTAAAAACTACTGTCGAATGATAAAAGTAATTCAAATGTAATAATTGTAGTATTGAGTTCAGTATAATATAGTTGTTAGATAATAATGTAATGTTTTAAATAATCAGCCCTAAATTTTTTCTTAGATTTACGAGAATATTTGACATTTTTCAAAAAAAATTCAAAAATCCGAAAAGATAGTTTTTATTTAAAACAGCCCTAAATTGTTTAACATTTCGTTATAGTTACATTTTGTTTCAGGAAGCAATATTTGAAGTAAACGTGTGTGAGTTGATATTATACTCATTGACTTTGTTAGGTACGGCTATTGCTCTAAAGCAAATGAGAGTTCTTCCATACAAACGAAAGTCCCAAGGTTCGTTAGCTAAAAGTCTTTTAAAAAATCTCCAGCAATAAATTTCTTACTTTATTTTTTAAATCTTATTTTGTAATATAATTTTCAGCTGTCTTGGGATTAGATACTTCATTGTTAGTTCTAGCACAATCTGGAATGTTTGTGTATTGCATGTTCAGTCTGATTGGATGTCATCATACGGTTAATCACAGCAATGGCGCTGGACTTACTGGTTTCTTCTCCGAATTTCTATCTTTGAATCAGGTAAGGCGCTTGTCGATACTATAATATTATAAAGAGGCAGAGTTTGTTTATTTGAACGCGCTAGTCTCAGGAACTACAATCCGATTTGAAAAAATCTTTTTGCATTAGTTAAGCCGTTTATTGAGGAAGACTATATGCTATATATCATCATGCAACCACCCAAGATGGCAGAGCAGTAATCATAAACGTCAACAAATCAGGCTATCATACATTATTGTAAATTATATATTATATTATTATATATTACTCGTATGTTTGTGTACAAGACGTACATATTACCTTTTTTCACGATTCACGATAAAATCTAACTTCAATAATAAGTTAAAAATAATTTTAAATAGTTTTTTTTTTCTCGATTCTAACACCAAAATCGTAAAGTAGTCAATTCTACAGAATTAATATTTAAAAAAAATCCAATCTATTTCTCCGTCTGTTTGTCCGTACGTTTATTCTTTCTAACCACATATGTACTTTCTAATTTATATTCGGGGGTCATTTTTAGTAATTTGGGATAAATTAATAGAAAGATACAGACGGCTACTAGCGATTATATAATATTGAAATTGAAATGTTATTTCAGACAATATTGCAATCTTTATTTATAATCGACGCGTGGTGGCGACGCAGCAGTAATTCAGAGCAAAGACGTAAGAAACCGGGGCGACAACTTGTGACCTTCTTACTAGTTGCAAACATGGCCATGTGGGCAATTAACACACTTGAAAAGGTATCTTTACTCACTATATCTTTGTTTGTTTTCAGTCAAAGTCTTTAAAAATATCTTTATATAGTCCTTGATTAAAAGATGTTAAACAATTACAGATTAAATAAAAGAATTATCTTTTTATTACTAAAGTAATAAAGCCATAACTGTACGGCATGGATGAATAACATGAAGTCCTGAAAAACATTTTTCAATACACTGCCATTTTTCTTTTCTACAAAGATATAAATGTGATGTTTTTTTCAGAATCGTGCAGAATTTCGTCCAACTCACCTCGCTTTCTACGGACCATGGGCATGGACGATCATTACGCATGTGTCGATGCCACTAGCGATTTTCTACAGATTTCACTCCACTATCTGTCTTTTCGAGATATGGAAAAACTGCTTCAAAAACAAACCTTTATATTTAAACGTTTGATATAAGGCCGTATCTAGCAATAAATGTTATAAACAAGTTATTTATTGTATTAATCAAATAATCCCAAGATTTTTTATAAAACATTAAATTTATTTGTTGAAGTGAGACATATTATTTTAAATGAAAATAAAATCTGCAGATAGCATACATAAAGTTTTAACTTGTTTGGTCAAATTTGCGTCGAACGTGATGGAGCATTTAACGCATCGGATACTACCCTTTGTCACGACCAACAACTAACAACAATACTCGCTAATTGTTTGCATTTACTCCACGCCTATATAATTGCTTCAATATATTAACCAGTGAAGCCCAAATGCGACTTCCTATTGAAAATATTAAATTACTAGCAGAACCCGCGGCTTTACTCGCGCTAAAACTACAAAAAATACTCTAAAAAGTAGGTTTCATACAACTTAAACCCCTATTTTACCCTCTTATGGGATGATTTCGAAAAATCAAGTATTTCAAGTAATTCTGTTCATAAAGAATTTTTTGGGTTGTATTATAACGTGTTTTCCCGTGGGAATGAGATAATCTCCCGCGGTAAAAAGTAGCCTATGTAACTCTCCAGTCCTCCAACTATCTCCACATAAAAAATCACGCCTGTTTTGACGTAAAAGAAGGACAAACCAACAAACAAACAAACAAACAAACAAACAAACAAACAAACAAACAAACAAACACACTTTTACATTTATAATATTAAGTATGGATTGTAATTATTTCCCCAATTATCCACACTACTATTGGACAAGATTAATTTATATTAGACAATAAAGGTGCCCAGCTCACCTAACGTCAACCTCCACAATTTTCCCTGTACAGTTAAAATCGCAGGTAAAATATTTGTGCCAGTCACCGATGTAATTTTCTTTAACGGTTCGTTGGGACATATTTGTGCAAAAAATATACCTATCGTAAATGGCCTTTAAAGTCATAAATTCCGTATGCAAGAAAATTTTAAGAAATGATTCATTGTTAGTAGTTATGTGTTATTGTTTCCATAAAGGTTAAAAATTAAAAAAAAAAAAGATAAAACCGACTTCCAGGCACTAAAATGTAAAAAATAACTAAACGGGGCTTTTCATTTAGAATAGATACCTAATCAGATATTTTCGAAGTCGGTGCCAGCCGCATAGGAAATCTTATATTTTTGATACGTAAAATACATATTTACCTATTAGATATTCATATCTTAAAATATTGTCCGCTGGCACCGACTTCGAAAATATCTGATTTTTTTTTGAGTTTTTATTTTTATATTTTTAGTGTAGACGTAATAAGCAGGTAATTTGTAGGAAGAAAGTTTTTAATAACATATTCGATTAAACAATTTGTTTAAAAAAAATATTTATTGTTGATTTTTTTTAAAACCGCTCAACCAATTTCGATAAAATTTGTATGGAACCACCTGGGAAGTATATAATATACCCTTTCAAACAAAACAAAAAAAAAATATTTATTGTTGATTTGATTTGAATCGGTGAACATATATAAAAAAAAGATTCCGACGAATTGAGAACCTCCTCGTTTTTGGAAGTCGGTTAATAAGTCGTATTAGCTACAATTACGTCATCGATCGTTATCATGGACTTCCTGAGACCTCTGCTTAGTGAGATAAGATGTGTATACAGTCCTAAGATATTCTAGATATTATCATCACATTTAAGCGCTTTACCAGTTTACCGACGTCTCAAAATGACGCATAAAAATAAAACTAAAAATAAATCACAAAATAATTTACATTCCATTGATTTTACAACAAGTATTGAATCGAATAATTTCCACAACATAATTGATGATTATATTGCTGAAGAATGGTGAGTACTTTAGTGTCTGCTTTTAATTTTAATTGTGTTTTAAAGTTTACGTAAAGTAAATACAAATTTTACAATAAAACAATATTAAGCCAGTATTTACTATTTACTTATTAGTTAGAATAATTGTAATGGATATTTAAAAACTTCTAATCCACGTCTATAATATGACTATCGACTAACCCTGCATCAGTCGAGTGCTTTATTTCAAACTGCTTAGGCAGTGCACCCCAAAAAACCAATAAACCAATTTTTTTCGACTTTAAATAAATTTATTATGATTCCTGAAATAAACTTAATACTAGTAATATTATTTAATCGGTTAAAAACTTAATTTTTACCCGATTTCAAAAAAGGAGGAGGTTCTATGTTCGTCAGTATGTATTTTTATATTATACTAGCGGCTCACCCTCGCTTCGCTCGGGTTCGTCGTTAGGTACGTTTTAAATAGATATAAATACTTATTAGCCAGTAGTTTTTTTCGTTAATAATATTGATAAATATTGACATTAATCTTTATACGATACTAACTTCACTCAATTGTTTTGCCTTCCTGGAACCTCTCCACTAACACTTAAACTTTATGGTATGGTATTAAAGTTCAAATTGACTTTTATTATTACGAATCTTTTGTATGGGAGTATAAAAAAGTGTTGTTTTTAGACTTTTTCAGTAATTTTTTAAAAAAAATTCTCTCCCTAAGAACCATCCTCGTACTTCAAGGAATAATCTAAAAAAAGGAATTAGCGAAATCGGTTCATCTGCTCTCGAGATTTGCGCTTACCAACACATTCAGCGATTCATTTTTATATTATAAGATATGTTCACCGATTTCTCGGAAACAGCTTGACCGATTTTACTAATTTAAACTGTACCTATTACATTAGGATAGGTCCCAAGGTGGCCCCATAAAATTTTCTTTGACATAAAATATGCTGTTTTCGGGAAAAGAAAGATACTTAACCCATAAATTTAAAGTATCTTAACAATTCTAATTAGACTTTTTACTTTCTTACTTCTAATTGTCATATCGACTTGGAACTTTTGACAAGCCCAATACGTTAGAATTGGATTTTAGAGCTTTATTTTTAGTAGTCCCTCGTTCAGTTATTTTTTACTCTTTAGTGCCTAGAAATATGATTTTTTTAAGAGTAGCTTTTACTATCAGGAAGTAGTTTTTTTTTGAGTTTAAAAAAATATGTTACAACTTCAAACTTACAAACTTTACCTCTTTAGAATATTAGATAAAGTTTATATAAAGTCCACTGCACGCTTTTTTTAAAAAGGAAATTTTCCTTTTTAACATATATCTATAAATTAAGCATAATATGAATATACAGTTTAAATTACTATGAAAAGAACTAAAAGTTTCCAAATGTTTAATTAAATTCTAAAGGGAAAGTGATGTAATAGACTACAAGCCATCAACATCGGGGAACTATGAGCACGGTCCTCATCATCACTACCACCCTCTACGGCAGATGAGTACCAGTCTAGAAAGGAAAATAAGACATGGACGGTATGCAACTTCGTATTAACTCAACTTTTTGATAAAATTAATTTATGTCAAACTATCAAAAGGCAGCGGTAGCCCAGTGGTAACGCGCTCGCTTGGGAAACCGTGTGATGCGGGTTCAAATCCCGGGTCTCGCACCTCTGATATTTTCATGTGCGAATCATTTCTAACATGATTACCACTTGCCTTACGGTAAAGGAAAAACATCGTGAGGAACCTGCATGTCTGAGAGAACCTAGCAAGTTTTCGAAAGACATGTGAAGTCCGCCAACCTGCACTTGGCCAGCGTGATGGACTATGGGCTGATCCCCCTCATATTGAAGGGAGGCCCGTGCCCAGCAGTGGGACGTTAAAAAGGGCTGAATACAATACAATACAATATCAAAATTCGCAATGTAACGCGCACTGCCCTATTTAGATAGGAATAATACAATACTTAGAAAAATTAAAATTCCTAAAAAATAAAGAAACCTTCCGCTAGAATAATACAACCATCGGCTGAGATAAAAACATATTTATATTTGTTCACTGAAGATGACATGTTTGATCCCTGTTCATGACAAGTTTTTCATATTGCAAGTATTTCAATTTAAAACATATTCTTTATAAAATGTATTCATAATTCTATATGCATAATTTCATCATGGAGACTTTTGTCTGTAAGGGTAAATTGTTATTTACATCTATATTTGAACCTGCAGTAAAACACCATAATTCTTCTTAATTACTATAACAATGATGTTAATTTGTCACTTTATTTGTTGCTAAATTATATCACGGATTATCGATTGAGGAATTAAGTAACACTTGCTTTATTCCTACATCATCTAACTATAAAAACCAAACATTATTTTCTTTTGCGACAGATAGGAAAATGATAAACTTATTCTATTTGTTTCTAAGAAAGTTTTTCGAAACTGAATACAAAATTACTTTCATAAGCATTGTAAACATTCATAAAATATACCTACTTAGATAAACTTTTATAACCGCTGAATGAAAATAGAGCCGTATATCTGTAAAATGTACTCGAAAAACTTTTTAACAAAAAAATAAAAACCGACTTCAAACAAAAGCACTAAAAAGTAAAAAATAACTGATTGGTAGTTTTCATTTACTATACATACCTAATCAAATATTTTCGAAGTCGGTGTGCTTTGCTTTGTATGGGCTGGCACCGATTTCGAAAATATTTGATTAGGTATGTATTTGATAGGTAGGCTTTAATTACTTAGCCAAAGCACACCGACTTCGAAAATATTTGATTAGGTATGTATAGTAAATGAAAACTACCAATCAGTTATTTTTTACTTTTTAGTGCTTTTGTTTGAAGTCGGTTTTTATTTTTTTGTTAAAAAGTTTTTATTTTTCCTTTTTAGTGTAGACAGTAGTAGAAAAGTAAGAATTCTAACGTGTTAGGCTTGTCAAATCAAACAAAATAAACCCAAACTCAAAGTATCTACTATTAGCCGTTGAAGAGTTCCACCTATCCACCTTCTGGCCTTGCCATCAGATCAGGTCAACAACACCGAACCACTGTACTATCAACGGAAATAGAAATACTTGCAAAGTTTCAAGTCAATATGACAATTAGAAGTAGGTTAAATTCATCATTAGTAGTTTTTCCACCCTTAGGGGTGGTATTTTTTTTTGAAATTTAAATGGGACCAATCTGGAAGTGTACCCTTTCAAACGACACAAAAATTGTCCAAATCGGTTAATAAATGACGGAGTTCTGAGGTAACAAACATAAAAAAAAAAAAAAAAAAAAAAAAAAAAAAAAAAAAAAACATACAGTCGAATTGAGAACCTCCTCCTTTTTGAAGTCGGTTGAAAAGTCTTCTTCTTTGATGGCTTACCTTCTTCATACCTTAGATATAATAACCTTCAATCTTGCCCATCCTGTTTGTTCATGTGTTCGTATCAAGCTGGGGATATCAGTACAGATGCATCTCAGATTAAAAGAATGTACATAAATAGATAAAACGTGTGAAAGCCGGTGATTGAATCCTGAAATAGTACCGTAATTTCTGTTTTATTACCATCCTCACTGTTATGTCTGCAGTATAGTATAGCAATAAAACTTCATCATAAAAGTATAAGAAATGATTAATTATAAAATATTAAAAATAATCACAAGACTAATATAAATATCTAGTTATTTTAAGCTACGAGGCTTGTGTTATGGATAGCAGATAGTTGATACACTACATACATATATATATATATATATATATATATATATATATATATAACTTTAAATACATACATATTATAAATATAAACACCCATGACTGGAGTATAAACATTCATGCTCATCACAGAAATGAATGCCCCCAGCGGGGCTCGAACCCGCGACCGCTGGTCACTACAAACTGAGCCAAACGTATCGTCAAATAATATAATATCTATTCCATAATTTTTTGAGATTTTTATTTGACTTCAAGTAATGCTATATAAGCTCCGACTACCTAATTCTCACAGAGAGGTGCATTTGATCATTTTTTTCATCAAAATAATATAAGCAAAGGTAGATCAAACGGTAAGTCACTAGATTGCTTACAGCTGGACGTCTAATTAATCGCGTAGTGTTGGAGATAAGAAGTGGGGAGAGGGGGCGCGTGTGCCTCGTTAGGAGGACCGTCTGAAAGTGACACCGCCCGTGCTAATTATTTAACCGTAAGGACATCTCTTAAGCTATAGATCCATGCAAATAAGATGCAATTAAAAGAGCTCGTAATAAGCTTATATTTATTTTATAACTAGCGCCTTATCGTCGCTTTACTCGGGTTCGCCTCTAGAAAAGCACAAACAGATCTATCCCACGGGAACCGTATATTTTTTCGGGATAAAAAGTAACCTGTTGTTTGACCGGCAATATAAGGTATCAGCATGCCAAATTTTCCTAAATTAGGTGCATAAGTTGTTGTGTACTAAGTTTAAGTTACTATAGTTTGTTAACTATCCCACTGGAACCTCCGAATTGAATTTTCCGGAATCAAAAGGATCTAAAATGTTTATCGGTGATATAAGGTACCACGAAGCAAAATTTCATTTAAATCAGTCCAACAGTTTCGGAGATTAGGCCGTACAAACAGACAGAGAAACAGAAAAATTGAAATAATCTGAATTTGTTCTATTTCTCTTCTTACATCCCTCTGATTCGGTTTTTAGCATTTTTTTTCTATTTTTTTTTTTTTTTTTATGGGACTAAGGGGGCAAACGGGCAGGAGGCTCACCTGATGAAAAGTGATCACCGCCGCCCATGGACATCTGCAACACCGCAGGGCTTGCAGACGCGTTGCCGGCCTTTAAGAAAGGAATACGCTCTCTTCTTGAAGGTGGCCAGGTCGTAGCGGTTCGGAAAGACCGCCGGCGATAGCTGTTCCACAGAGTGGTTGTGCGGGGCAGAAAATGCCTTAAAAATCGCACTGTTGTGAAACGCTGGACATCGAGATGGTGTGGATGGAATTAACTATTTTGGCGCGATGTCCGATGGTGAAAGTCAGCAGCCGGGATCAGTCCGAACAATTCCTCAGAACACTCCCGTGATAGATGCGGTAGAAGATGCAGAGTGATCCAACATCTCTACGCAGAGCTAAAGGATCAAGCCGATCGGAGAGAGCTTGATCGTCGATAACTCGAATCGCCCTACGTTGAATGCGGTCAAATGGAAGTAGCTGGTACTGGGGAGCTCCCGCCCAAAGATGAGAACAGTACTCCATGTGGGGCCGAATTTGCGCCTTATAAAGAATAAGACGCTGACGCGACGTGAAGTACTGTCTCGCCTTGCTGAGCACACCAAGCTTCTTTGAGGCCAGTTTGGCCTTACCTTCCAATTGACCACGGAACTGGACGTTGCTCGAGATGTCGACGCCAAGTATTCCGATACTGGCTGTGGGAGACAGAGGAGTGTCCTCAAATTGAGGAGCTACGATAAATGGCGACTTTTTAGCGGTTAACGCGCAAACTTGTGTCTTTTTGGGGTTGAATTGGACTAAGTTTAGTCGACCCCAATCCGAGACTTTGGTTAACAGAGATTCGAATTCAGACACAAGTTTGTTCCGGCTCTCGTTGACGTATTCCCGAGAAATATTAGCGCGGCCAGTGTACAGCGCATCCACAGTGCTATCGTCTGCATAGCAATGAATGTTGCTAATTTGCAACATGTCATTGATATGCAGAAGGAAACAGAGTAGGAGACAGTACACAGCCTTGTGGAACACCAGCATTGACATATTTAGGATCAGAGCAAGCACCGTCGACAACGACCTTAATGCTCCGATCTGCAAAAAGCTGGTGATCCAGTTGCAAAATTTCTCGGGGAGCCCATAGGAAGGTAGCTTCGAAAGAAGCGCTTTGTGCCATACCCGATCAAAGGCCTTCGCTATGTCCAGACTGGCAGCAAGCGCCTCCCCTTTGGTCTCAACTGCTTCTGCCCATCTATGTGTCAGGTAAATTAGAAGATCACCGGCTGAGCGACCTCGACGGAAGCCGTACTGGCGGTCGCTAATCAGCCGGTGCTCTTCTAGGTACCGCAGGAGCTGGCAGTTGATAATGGACTCCATTATCTTAGAGAACAAGGAGGGTAATGGCTATAGGCCTGTAATTGGACGGATCCGAGCGGTTGCCCTTTTTTGGGATCGGGTGCACTAAAGCGGCCTTCCAGGATTTCGGGACTACGCCTGATGAATAGGAGTACCGGAAAAGACGCGTTAAGACCGGTGCCAACTCCGGAGCACATGTCTTCAACACGATCGGAGGGATGCCATCGGGCCCCACTCGGACTTATGAATGTCCAAGGAAAGAAGTGCTTTGCGAACTGCACTTTGCCGGAACTGAACTTCCGGCATCGTAGTATCACACCGCGGGATTATCGGTGGTGAGTTTCCTTGGTCATTCAGAGTCGAATTGGACGCGAAGAGAGTGCCCAGTAGTTCGGCTTTCTCCTTCGCGGTATGAGCCAGCGAGTCATTCTCCGTGTGCAGAGGTGGAAAAGAAGGCTTACAGAAATTCCCTAAAACAGCTTTGGAGAGAGACCAAAACGCACGTGTTCCCGAAGGGAGACGCCCCAATCTCTCGCCAATTCTGCCGATGTGCTTCGACTTCGCATTAGCAATACTACTTTTGAAGGACCTGGAGGCAAAGTTATACTCCTTTTTAAAGGCGCTAGTATTTACATCACTAGACGCCGACGCGACGGCCCAGGCTTGGTAGCATTCCAGCTTTCGGCGAGATGCCATCTTGCAGGAGTGACCAAACCAAGGCTGGGATTTGCCTCCGATGGGCACTGCAGAGAACGGAATAAATAGTTCCATACCCTGAAGTACCACATCGGTGACAGAATCAGCAACGACGTCTGGATCATCTGGCGAGAAGCAAATTTGCCCCCATGGGTAGGACGCAAAGAATGACCGCATCCCGTCCCAATCCGCTGACCTGTAATGCCATACACGGCGACAGCCCGCAAAGCGAGGCCGTGTGTTAAGCGCGGAGACTGGCACTGTACTCCGGACAAGACAGTGGTCCGACGAGCCAAGAGGAGGATCGACGGAGACCAGGTAGCCGTCCGGATGAGAGGTTAACAGAAGGTCCAACAGGGAAGGTGTATGATCTTCCACATCAGGATTCGCGTTGGCGAGGTAACCAGTTGTGTCAGATCATATGCCAATGCGAAATCGTGAACAGATCTCCCCGCATGATCGGTGGTACGTGATCTAAGCCATTCAGTATGATGGGCGTTAAAGTCGCCGAGAATCACGATCTCTGCGGATGGGATCTGCTGGAGCACGAAATCTGTAGCCGTTTGCATGTGCTCAACGAGTCGGTCAGTTTTCGGCATTGCCGCTATGAGACCTATACAGGCACGCGTAGATTCGCGGATGGTCGTCGCAGTCTACACGTAGCCAGAGGATGGATAGGTCCCGCCCTTTCAAGGCTGCTGAGGCGACGAGAGCAGATGTCCTCTCTGACGTACACGCACACTCCAGCCCGCGGTACAAAGGAATGCTCCAGATTATACCCCGGGTAAGAGAGGAAAGAGGTGTCAGCCGGGGACGATATCTGCGTCTCGGTAAGGAAGAGCAAGGCCGGCTTCGCCGTCTCAAGGTGGAAGTGGACGGCGTTCAAGTTGGAATTTAGTCCCCTTATGTTGCAGAAGTCCACAGCAAGTGTGAAAGGGGTAGCCTTATGTTGCCTGCTCCGATTGCCCCGAACAGAAGACGAGAGCGCAAAATTGCCCCCCCCAGAATTCGGAGGGCAGCCTGGGCACCCACGCTCAGGTAGTGTACGAGCTGAACATGGATGCCCAGAGAGGGATTCTCCACCGCGATGTGCGCTGGTGGTACCCTCCTGGGGTAGACTGACCAAATTTCGCACTGTCATAAATTTAGTGGTGTGGGGGAGGGGTGGGGAGTGGGCCTCCCGGGACTCTCACTTACCGAACGAAACGCGACAGCAAAGCTGCCACTTTACGCCGGACTTCTGTGAGAGAGTGGTACTTAACGGGACGTGCCGGCCCATTCGGCTGCTACCCGAAGGTAACTAGCATGGCACTACCACAGTTTTTGGTTGACTGATTGCACTGGTGGAATAATCTCTGTCACTAGATTATCCCACCAGCGGGCGGTGGGGTCGTCACGTCCCGACGCCAATAATATGAACAGACATTCGAACTCTAGTTTTATTATATGTATAGATTCAATCAAAAATTGTATTTATTACACATGCAACTTTTGAAGAAATTAATTACATTCAATTAATAGTGTATTTGTTATATATGTATTTATAATTAATATAAATAAATCTACTTGAATTTCATTTTATCAACCGACTTCAAAAAGGAGGAGGTTCTCAATTCGACTGTATGTTTTTTTTTTTATGTTTGTTACCTCAGAACTCCGTCATTTATTAACCGATTTTGACAATTTTTGTGTCGTTTGAAAGGGTATACTTCCAGATTGGTCCCATTTTAATTTCAAAAAAAAAATACCACCCCTAAGGGTGGAAAAACAACTAATGATGAATTTAACCTACTTCTAATTGTCATATTGACTTGAAACTTTGCAAGTATTTCTATTTCCGTTGATAGTACAGTGGTTCGGTGTTGTTGACCTGATCTGATGGCAAGGCCAGAAGGTGGATAGGTGGAACTCTTCAACGGCTAATAGTAGATACTTTGAGTTTGGGCTTATTTTGTTTGATTTGACAAGCCTAACACGTTAGAATCCTTACTTTTCTACTACTGTCTACACTAAAAAGGGAAAAATAAAAACTGACTTCAAACAAAAGCACTAAAAATTTGGCTAAGTAATTAAAGCCTACCTATTAAATACATACCTAAGCAAATATTTTCGAAATCGGTGCCAGCCCATACAAAACAAAGCACACCGACTTCGAAAATATTTGATTAGGTATGTATAGTAAATGAAAACTACCAATCAGTTATTTTTTACTTTTTAGTGCTTTTGTTTGAAGTCGGTTTTTATTTTTTTGTTAAAAAGTTTTTATTATCTTAAAATTGTCTTATCAAATAATGACGTGAAAATGTTTCTAGAAAGACCATATTACAAATGTTATTAGCAAAATTGGGATTTAAAAATATACTTATCACCAAAAATAAACTAATGCCAATATAACATTACTTTTGAGTTAGTATCTTGTTATTGGCATATTTAACTTAGTCACCATATTTTCAATTATTATCAATTACTAATTCTTTACACATACAGTCACACGTGCAAAACACTCTCGTCACTATATGGTGCTACAGTTCATTATTAACTCTACTGGTATTCACATCGTTGTATTTAAAGCTAATCTTTTAACTGAAATGTACAAAAAGTAGTTGTGTGTTGTTTGATTTAAAAAGTTAGTAGGTCATAAAATTAAAAATACAACAAAATAGATAAAATATAAATGATGCATAAAAATAAAGATAAATCCAATCAAAATACAGCAAAGGATTGGCGGGAGAGATCGGAGCCGTTGCTCTCCGTGCCTGAGGATGAAAGGTGAGTAAGACGAGGCTTCATTAAACTTACTATTAGTCGATAAGCGCTCGCTCAAACAAAACAACTTTGCTTGTAATTTTATATCTACACCTTATTTGTTATAAAAATATTGAGTACTTCGTTAAACATTACTTACTGATACTTTTTTTTTTAATTTAATATTGTTGCTGCTTATCACGGATGTTAATTTTAGTGACAGACTTTTTCTCCGATTCTAATATAATATGCGATCGTATGTTTGTTTGAGTTACCTTAACTTGAAACAGGTCGACTTAATTTTTTACGAAAAGTATGAGCTGGAGAGTGACATATATAGTTTAGTATAGATTTCTCAGAAATAATATATTTTCGAAAAAAGTATCCTATGTGTTGACCCAGATAACCAGATGTCATCGTACCAAACTTCATCAAAATCCCTGCAGTAAGTCCGTGATGCAGTCACAGACAGACAGACAGCCAGACAAAAATTCTTAAAACTATAGATTCGGCCTCTGTATCGATAATAATGACTACTTCAATAAGATTTTAGATAGTTTTATTTAAAATGACATATAGATTTTTTTATTCGAGCATATAATTTTTTTTATGATATATCCACAAAACTCACTTAGGGCTTACTTACTATTGTTTAATAATCTAGATGATCGTCTGCGAGTCAAATAGAGGAACGATATCATACACTGAAAAAAATCTATTAAATTAAGAACAAACTCTATGTCAAAATTTTAAATTATAGTTTTAGTAGTTTTAGATATAAGGTATTACGGTATGCCCAATTTTCATAAACTTACTTTAATATCTGTAAAGGTATACGTTTAATTATAATCTTTATTTATTTCATGTACAACGACATGATGGATTTGATAAAACTTGTTTTTTTATTTACTATTTTGACCGACCAAAGACCCAGAAACAAGAAATCACACATTTTCGTTGGTTCGCCATTAATTTTACATATATGTCTCTAATTTTTTCTTGCCAGTAGATTCGGCAAAATCTATGTCAAGTAGACAGACCGACAGATCTTATTAGGATTTCACTTTTTACGTTAGTAATACGGAACTCTGAAATTAAATAAGAATTATATTTGACAAATAATTTTATTTATTTTTAAAATTGCAGAGAGCTTCCACCCCACTCACTGCCACGACTCAGCGTGGTCCTACCCTGCAGTAGAAGCTCAAGCGTGGACCACATAACAGCTACACCTCAAACAAAACGAATGTCACATGGCGAGTAAGAGCAATTTTTTTTAAATAATCTTAGAAAATTTGACAATTACTTTGTATGCTAAGCAGAGGTATAAATAGACTCAGATGTAGTAATATATGTAAATATAAAACAAGTACTTGACGGTGAAGGAAAACATCGTGAGGAAACCTGCATGTCTGAGAGAACCTAGCAAGTTTTCAAAAGACGTGTGAAGTCCGCTAACCCGCACTTGGCCAGCGTGGTGGACTATGGCCTGATTCCCCTCGTACTGTAGGGAGGCCCGTGCCCAGCAGTGGGACGTAAAAAAAAAAGGGCTGAATACATACTAAACAGGAACTCGAACCTCAAACTCACGTTATTTGTTGTTAACCTCTCAATTCCTCTTTTCTAAAGTACCATGTAATCGTCATTTCAATATATAAGCAGATAATTACAAATCAAAGGTATTATTTAATAACTTTATAGAGAAATATTATATGTATTATTACACTAATTAATCCAATATATCACATTGTTTCAGTGAATCAATGACAGTAGTAATATCAGCGTTTTATGCAAAATTACTAATAGTTTTAGGTCTAGCATTACCCGTAACCAGCACAATACAAAATGAGTTATATACCAATATTATTTCAGATGTGAGTATAATATTATTATAAATGTTATTAATTACAAAATTCTTTAAAAATTAATATTTTTTTATTAATTAATAATAATTCATTAAATTAAATAAATAATAATTAATTTAACTTAATTATTTTAACAAAAATTGCCCTAATTTCAGATATTTACAATGTACCTCTACATAGTTGGTATGATATTTCTTGCTTATACTTTTTATCATCTCCGAATAGCAAAAACCAATAAAGATAGTAAGTATTCAAAGTTTTATTTATAACTAGCATTGCCCGCGGCTCCGCTCGCGTTCATATGACCAAAACTACTCTTACATTGCAGTTTTTGTATTTTTTCTCAGAAATGAGACATTTTGCCGCGGTAAAAAGTATCCTATATGTTGACCCGGATAACCAGCTATCACCAAGTTTTATCAAAATCCCTCCAGTGGTTTTTCTGTGATGCGGTAGCAGACAGACAGACAACATTTTAAAAACTATAGATTCGGCCTCTGTGTCTACCTGCGGTAGCCTATGTCACTCTCCAGACCTCCAACTATCTCCACACAAAAATCACGCCAATCCATCACTCTATTTCGACGTGAAAGAAGGACAAACAAACACACTTGCACATTTATAATATTAGTATGGAAGTATGGATGTTGTACAATGTAAAGCGCACATCTACTATTTTTCACATCCAAGGCTTAGGGATTAGAAGAAACCTCATGTTCGCATAAGTCCAACATTGCCTGTATTACTTTATACGTATATAATATCTGTATGATATAATTTAAAGTGCAACATACTCGTATATATAAAAATATCATTATTTCTGTTCTATGCAAAAGATCAACGACTATATCTATGAACAAATTCAATAAATTATTATTTACTTGGTATCATATTCCAGATAACATAAAACCAACGCGATATGGCAGTTTTTACCTGCATATGGGTATAGCAGGATTTAGTGTGGGCTCAATAATTTATTCATGCCTACAATTCGGCGAGTACTTCGATCTTTCAGGAGATTGTCAGATGATCATAGTTGCTCTTAAGCCAGCGCTTAGAATATTGTTTATGGTCGCTCAAACCATATTTATCTTTTCATACACAAATGTAAGTTTTTTTTTTTTCAGAAATAAAAAAATGTTACATAAAAATTAACGACAGCTAAAGTTGCTAGATCGCAATAATTATTATTTATATACGTTTCAAAGATTTACAAGTCGTTATTTAAAAGACCGTAGCTTGAAGACGTTTTACTAAAAAACTAAAATTATCCAGATAAATAATAAAATATCATATCATACAGTCATACAGTCTGTTATACCGTATAATCAGTTTTAATTCTATATAATTAAATAATCAAAAACTTTTTTGTTAGGTAAACTGAGAGTAATTGTAATTAGTAAGCGTATATTTTATTAATTCAGGGTGTCAATCACCAATAGTGGATATTCCAAGGAATTATCAGAAGCAACAAAAAATATAATAAGTTAACATAAAAATACTTAGTACAAAAATAAATTATTATTAGATAACTAATTAAATATACGATAACGTCAGTTGTCAGTTTGAGGTTAAGCTTAGAAAGAGTTTACAAACTTACCTTACTTTAGAAGTGTTTCCAATAAATATTTATTGTCTTTTAAAATACCTATATAGTTTTACTATTGATTATTAAGCTTACCAAAGTGTGCATTTATATGTTTCGACGGTATTTTCCAATTAAATTGACTCTCATAATAAATTTTATGTGAAATAATGGCAACATTATATTGAATAAACATAATATTTATAAATAAAATTATACGGTTCTGCAAATAAGCGTAAGAATTGCGCGTCGAATGAACATTATGGTAATATTCTGCAATAGGGCGGAATCGATATCTCGACTCGATTATGTCATTGGCTCATATCGGTAATATAAAAGGTAAAGTATGTATATTGAATAGATCTAAAGATATAATCACGACATTTTATGTGTCGTCAAACTTATAAAAGCTAATGGAATAATCATACCTACAAAATTCAATGACTACAAGTTAGATAAATATTATATAATAATGATATTTAAATTAGTTTAGATTTTTTTGTTAATTTAGAATTATTTACGTACATTATGATCCTTTAAAAATCTAGTCATAATAAAAATAATACGTATATTTTAGGAAATAATAAATTTCTTCTGTTAAAAAATAAATGTTTCTTTTTATTTATTTTACCAATATTCAAATCATATTTTATATATAATGTAAATGTAATAAGTAAACTGTTTACTTATTACATACTAGCTTGACTCCCCATATACACCTTTCATCCCCATTTTCAACCCCTTAAGGGATGATTTCCGGGATAAAAAGTATCCTATGTCCTTCCCAGGGTCTCAAACTATCTTCTAATCAAATTTCATCTAAATCGGTTCAGTAGATCCAGAGATCACCCCTACAACGCCACAAATTCACAATCTCACAAACTCACAAACTTTACCTCTTTATAATATTAGTATAGAATATTAGTATAGATTGATTATGGCTAATACTTTTAAATTACTTTATATTTTAGTTGTTAGATCCAATGCGAGGAGTTGTATTGGATAGATTCGGTTTGATGCATCTCATAGCAACTAACATATGTGAATGGCTCAACGTCGTTATTCAAGAAACAAGAGATGATATCGTCGCTGTAGCCTACGATCGACCCGCGCTTCTACGATACACAAATATAACTGGACCTGCAAAACTGATATTAAGTAATGAAATTGTAAATCATACCACATTAATGACCAATGAGAACTTTACAGGCCGAAATGAAATTGTCCATGCAAATTTAACGGCTAGAATTGAAGCGTGGAGTTGCAATGTCTCAGATATGATAACACCACTAATTAGAACTATGAATCCTTATTTGAGGCCGTGCGGGGTTGAATATAGCCTGCTTTGCTCCATAATTATAGTCGTTATATGGAACGATATTTGCACCGTGCCTGGATCGGTAAATATGCCTTTTAGATATTAGAAAACTTTATAGACAATTATAAAATTTACAAAGATAAAATAATAAAAATTAACATTAAAAAAATATAAGTTTATTACAGTAAAAATTTTGGTCAATTGCGAGTCTGATCAATTTTTTTCTATGCTCAATACTTCTGGTGAGAAATGTGGATATCCAATTTTTATTTATTTTGTGTCACATCTTCAAAACCATGAATTTTAATTTATAAATAAATTATCTAATAACTTTGTATTTCTTATAACGAAACTTTTCCTTTTATACATCACGAAACACACTTAATATTTCTGTTTTGAAATTACTTGTAAACCCCACAAACAGAATTTGTTTCTTTATGGTACATGTTTGTCATTGGGTTACGTACAATAACTCTATACAAACAAGTCTGTGCAAAACTACTTAGTATAAGTACATTTATAGAAAAAAGGCAATAACAGACGGACGGACATACTTCAAGACCCGTGATTGAATCTACACAGGTTTTATATTTATATTAGGTGTAAAAAAGGAATTTAATATGATATTTTTTGTAGAAATCTCTTAAAATATTCGATGAGAAACAATGCTGTGGGAGGATGAAGTCTAACAATCATTTCTCTGTAGATTGTGGTAGCGCACATAAAGGACTCTTCATGGGCATAGCTGTGCTAGCCGGCACAATCGTAAGCTTAATGCTTTTTAACGGACTATTTCAGAAAGGAAAACATGTTGAACTTGCTTTGCTACAGGTAAATAATCTATAGATACATATAATAAAATTGTAACTAAGTCGAATCTGTACATTAAATATTTTTTGGGACATCTAATTGAAATAGACATTATTATCGACACAGAGTCCGAATCTATAGTTTTTAGAATTTTTGTCTCTGTCTGTCTGTTACCGCATCACGAGAAAACCACTGGACAGATTTTGATATAATTTGGTATGGAGATAGCTGGTTATCCGGGTCAACATATAGGATACTTTTTACTGCGGCAAAATATCTAATTTCTGAGAAAAAATACAAAAACTGCAATGTATATACTAATGTGTAAAACCTAAGAATTTGGTTTTTGATCATCTGAACGCGGGCGGAGCCGTGGGTAATGCTAGTATTATATAATACAATAAAACAAGCGTACAACCTTCTACCTAATCACCTCCCCCTGAACTGCCCTCACTTTCTCTCAGGCCAAAGATGCAACCCGCGCGTCTTTCAGTAACTTAGAAACATCGAGATTTCCCTTCCATATTTTATTATAAATTATAATATAAAAGTATCCCCCCAGAACTCTAAGTAAAAACCGTATCAACATTTATTGTGAAGTATAAGAGTAAGCAATCAAATCGAAAGAAATAGAGACTGAGTATTTAATATTTTTAATCCCTCCACGACCGCGGACACGCCGGCGTTACAGTTAACAAGAGATTTCTTAGAAATTTAATTAATTTCTTAGAAATTTACCTGGAGGTGTTTTAGGGCTGTAATACGCGCATACAATTTTGTAGAATAAAAAAATAAACAAATTAATCAGCTGTTTTATAAGTATAATAATTTATATATTTTTTTAATTTGTTTATTTTTTCTAGTCAAAATCAACAAAAGAACAGCTAAAAGTATTATAATGGAACTTTTTTATCGTATATTGTCATGTTATGTGGTTATTGACTGAATACAAATAGATAGGTACACTGGCAATGTCTCAACTTAGCTTATAAATATATGCTAAATAAACAAAACAAGAAAGTCAAAATGAATTATTTTTTTAAATTTCCTTTCTTATTTTGTGATACTATATAATTGAATACAAATACGATCCTTACTTCACTCTACATCTGAGGTAAAACACTTTGTAATTCAATTATTTATATACTAAAATAATTAAGAGTACATAGTTATATCTGATATGGCTCAAAATATTTAAATTGCTGCGAGCTAAACAGATAATTAATAATATTGCTTATTTTCACGCAAAAATCTCCTTAAATTTTTTCATCAATATAATGTGCAGAACTGATATATTTTACTATAGACTTTAATAATACCGGCCGTTCTACACGAGCATATAGGTACTTAATTTCATTTTATAATCAAAAAAGATGAGCATTAGAAAAGTGTAAGAACAAGTGTTGAAAGTATGAAATGAAGCTATATTAGCCATTGAAATGATACTAAACTACATAATATGTACATATGATGTTAATTCTCAATGTTCTTATGATTTTTCTCGTGTGATCAGAATAGACAGTTAAACCAACATTCACAAAAACGTTTTCCATTTCTTTGGCATAAGTATATTGCCATGTCTATATTACAGCATTATACTCAAATTATTATATTATAATTTGTTTTATCATTTTAGATAAACATATGGGAGACAGTGTTGTTTGTATTAATGATCCTGGGATCGGCAGCATGCATGAATAGAGTACGAGCGTTAACAATGCGTCAGGTGTCCACTACGATGCCGCTAGAGCATGCGCTACTTCTTGTCACTCAATTTGGAGTGTACCTTTACTATCTGTTCCAAATAATTGGCGCCAGTTTCTTAATACAACGGTTTTCTGAACAACGGCGAGCGACAAGGTAATGTTATACATATTTATTTCTTTTTTTACATATTTTGTCAATTTTCTACAATTTTGTACAATATTGGCTTTATATCCTTGTACATTTTACCTAAAATTAATAGTATGAAAATTAAATTGCCACGCGGCAGTTAATCTTTTTAGAAAAAAACAGTATTGCTAATAGATTTGAGAAAAATCTTTTTTTTAACGGAATATTTTTTCTAAAACAGAATAATAGCACCGCTGTTTGCCATTGTACAAAGTTCCTGTCAAACTCTACTAGTGCTGGACGCGTGGTCACGACGATGCGCCGGGAGCAAGGAGCGTCCGGGACGACAGCTAGTTACGTTCCTCCTAGTCAGCAATTTTGCACTATGGCTACTGAATCGCGTAAAGAATGCTCGCGCTGAATTTCATCCTTTACAGGTTTTAACAAATTAATAATTAATTGTTATAAAAACAGAAACAATATTTAAATAGTGGCACTTGTATGGTAGACAGGCATTAAGTTTTAAAACATGTAAAAAGTACTATTTTATATATTGATTCTACTGTCACTCTATTATATAGATTACTATCGACTCACCCTTGCTTCGCTCGGGTTCGTCCTTACTTAAGTTTCAATTTTTTTGAGCGAAACTCCAATTCTTTTCCTAAAATAAATGTATAAAAGCCTATGTTACTCCCTATAACATCAGCTATCTTCCAGTGAAAGTCCTGTCAAAATCAATCCAATGGCTCCAAATGCCGCCCCTACTTTGTGCCACCTGATGCGGCCGTATCTTTGCCTCATAGCACCCGCACAGCCCTGTATATACACGAGTAAAAACCAGTTTTTATAAATATATTAAGCAAAAATCTTAACATTTAAATATATAATTCCTTTGTATTATACATAAATAACAAGGAAATTGTATAAACTTAAATTTACTGTATTCGTGGGGATATATTTTATTCGCCGTATGTTTTCTTGAATGTAACCTTAATGCTTCCTATCTTTATTTTATATACAATAATAATTTTCAGATGGAGTTTTATGGCGTGTGGGCTTGGACTCTAATTACACATGTGTCTGTACCTCTTCTAGTGTGCTATAGATTTCAAGCGACCGTTTGTTTCTACGAAATATGGAAGAACTCCTACAAAAGAAAGAAAGATTACATTTCTATTACAGATGAGATTGAGTTGAATAATTATCATATTTCTTAAATTTTGTTTTTCATTTTGTTATCCATTCGTTGTAGCATATAATTGTAGCCACATAACATAATTGTGACCAGGATTAAATCGAGAATCAGTACATGAATTTATATAACTGTAAAATTGTTACGATTTTTTTGAGTATTCTTAAAACAACCAAGAAAATAAGAAAGGTAGTAAAAACTTAAAAAATGTAAGCCGACTTGAAGACACAAGTAACAGATAACTAAACAGAGATACAGTACACTTAAGTACTGCTTACTACTCTAGGTAATTACTAATCAAAGAGGTAGAAGCTGACTTGAAGTAACATGAAAGTAGATGACAAAGTTTTTATGGGAAATAATAACTTTAATGTATTTCTCGCACAAGTATAGCGAATACTGGACAGACTGCAAGATAATATCTTTAATATATGTAGGAATGCGTATTAGTCAGAGACCTAAGACCTTTTTAAAAATTAAAAAAAAAAAAAAACTAAATAGAAGTAAAAACCCAATGTAATAATTTATTTTGACGTTGTTGTTGGTACATATCGCTGGAGGGGAAGTTTTTTTTTATCATTAATTGTTATGTAGGACAGAAGTCTTTTTGAGTGTCTTATTAAATTATTTTAAGATTGAAATAAATTAATTACTAGCTGTTAGTAGTAAAGTTTGAACAATTCGACATTTTTACAGCTATACCGTCTTTTAGGTACCACTGTCTATACTTTTCGTAAAGAAAAAAATTGGACGTCTTGTCAAAACGAATCCACTTACAAGTAATCAGAAAAATAATAGATAGGACCAAATCACATTCAATAATAACGGTTCGATCTCGATTAGAAATAAAGATAATCATAAAGATTTTTGATTTTGATTATATACATTCAGTCTGAGATTAAGGAATTTATTGTGATAACTCTTATAAACCTGGTTTTTGCTTCTAATGTGTTCGCACCTTATCTGTGCGATATATTGTACCTGGGAGTTAGGTCCACTTGAAGAAAGAATTGAGAAGGAGAGATGCATCCTGTCCAAACCGCTAGTCGTAGAAACGTGAAATTTGGACGACGTATTCCATAAATGATGTAGGCAACCGATAAGGAAAATCCCCTCAGTGGGAAAAAATAGAGATAAAAGATTGTATGAATCTCTGTCATTCTGGATGTGAAATACACAGAGAGTAGTATTTTGCTTAAAGATAAAAAATAAGAAATATATTTATTTGTTTTTTTTCGAAATTCATCCCTTAAAAGAGTATAGGGGTTAATAAATTTTATATGGGTAGAGACTTATTTATGATCAGAATTACTTGAAACTTGGTATTAATGCTCTTCAATACAATTAAATAAATACGTGTTTAAGCGTTTAGGCGTTTTTCAGTCCCATAAGGGGGTAAAATGGGGAATGAAAGTCTGTATGAAACTAATTAATATGTGAAAAAGCACAAAAAGTCATCTGTAGACGATTTAAGAGTTTTAAAATCACTTTCTTCAAAATGATGGCCACATAATATATATAGTGATTTCGCCAATTTAGGTCGTCTTATTGCTTTAGCCCACAATTTCTTAAGGTTTTGGAAACAAATGATACCTATTTTCATTTTATCCTGGCACTGCACAATTGGCATTTTCATTAAATTTTAAATAAAATGAAAAACTTCAACCACGCTATACCATTTACTCAGGGCTATAGTGATCGCGACATCTGGCGGGAGAAAAAGGCAAAATTCTCCCTCATTGTATAATATCGTCTTGAATAAAGTACAACCTTGACTTCAATAAGCAAAGTCAAACAAAAAATATAATATATATGTAAATTAACAATAATTCTATACAAAATAATAGCATAAACATAATATAAATAAAAGTAAACCTGTAATATTTACAGTTATTTTTATCAAATTAAATACGTGTTAATTACAATTTACAAAACGTACTATTCCCATTTCCCATTTGTTAATAAATGTCAATGTCAAGAAATTGTCAAATGTCAGCTTGGCTTCCAAGTTCCATCTAACTTCAACTGTAATAAATTAAAACATTAAAATTAAAATTTCTCATACTTTATAAATTAGACATAAGGTAGTCCTAAAATATGGCGTCGGCAATGGATGTTGATGAAGAAGAAGTAGAAATGGCTTCATCCAGTAGCGGTAAAGGTGATAAAAAACGATTTGAAGTTAAAAAGGTAACATTAATTTACGCTTACTCATTATGACAATTTTTGTTTTCTTATAATAATAAACGAATAAACAGATATGATAGTTTTGTTTAATTTTTAGTGGAATGCTGTGGCGCTATGGGCATGGGGTATGTTTTTGGATATACTATAGACGACAATATAACCCTATTGTTATACTTCCATTGTTTGATTAGTGTTTTGATATTACTTTTGATCTCTCATTATATGAATAAAACAAATATTATTTCAGATATTGTCGTTGACAACTGTGCAATTTGCCGAAATCATATCATGGATTTATGCATAGAATGCCAAGCTAACCAGGCATCTGCTACAAGTGAAGAATGTACAGTAGCTTGGGGTGTTTGTAATGTAAGTTATCTATATTCGAGAAAAGTAATATGTATAATTTATTAAAAAAAAATAATCAAATTATTTAATTTCAGCATGCTTTTCATTTCCATTGCATCTCTCGCTGGCTCAAAACTCGACAAGTGTGTCCTCTTGATAATAGAGAATGGGAGTTCCAAAAGTATGTACTGCTTAAAATCCTTCTATATTATTTATTATATAATTAATATGTATTATGTAATATATAAAACTATCATTATTGAAAAAATCTTTTTGCAGATATGGACACTAAACTACTAAGAGCTGCCCTGATAATTACCATAAATAATATGAATCTAAGGAGGAATTCCTGTTCTACACACAAAAGTTTTTAATAAATTTACTATAAGTTCATTATTTTGTTATTGATTTAAACTGTCTAAATTGTAATAGTCAAAATGTAACCATTACTGCAACATAAAAAAAGTAAACACTGAAATAATAATACTATCTTTATTTTCTTAAAAGTATGGCAGTCTTAGGGGTTTGTTTTTTGTTTAGCATTTTTATTTTCATAATGATCAGAGGATGGAGATGGATTAAAACAAAATACTGATTTATGTACCACTAGCGACGCAGACAGTCTTAAGTTTTCGTCACTAGACAAAAAGAAATCTATGAATGGAAAACATACATTTTTCCAGAATAAAAGGTAACCCATGTTCTATTCCAGACTATTATCTATCACTGTGCCCATCCAGATCCGTTCGGCCGTCCTGGCGTGAGAGATTAACATCTATCCATCATTCATCTCACAAACTTTCACATTTATAATATCAGTATGATTCAAAACAATTTAGTAGTTTTTTTTTAAATTGACATATGCATTAAGTATGTAAAATAAATATAAATTAAGAGTATAAATAGCATTTTAATAGTGGATATAAATAAAATAGTAAAGAGTTGAGGCATTTTATTATCATAATTAAATGAAAATATTTCATAATGGCTAACTTGATAACAAGATGCAATCATTTTTTCTAACTTGGATTCATACATACACTATTCCGATAGGGAATATCACAAAGCTAGTTGTCTAACTAGCAGTTAAGTATATTATTTTACATATAAATACATCACCAACAATGTAATTTACAGAGTAATCGTAAATGATGCGCACTTTTCCAAATAACATGTCAAAATTATATTATTTCTATATTTTACAACTAATATGCCTCCAGTTCAACCTCTGTAATTATTGACCAAGTCTTAAATATTCAAAAGCTTTCTCATTGTATTAATATAGGTGTGCATTTTATTTATATTCAATGATCATTTACAAACATTGAGTCATAAAACAGAAGGTATCTTGAATTATAATATTAGCAAAAATATGCTACATTCAAATTATTTTCAAACAGTATATTAATGAAAAGTGGAAACTGTACAATTACAGCAATATTAAAAAAACAGTTTAGTGAGTTCATGCTTAATTATGTTTACTTCCCAACATTTGTAGATTACCATAATGGAATGTAAGTTTAAAAATATTTACTTGTACGATACCGCTTCTGCAATAATATGCCGCCCGCGGCTTCATAGTTTCACCAAACATATTTACACGCCAATGGATATTCATAAGTGTTTGTCAAGAAGATTTACTGAAGAGATCCATATTAAAATTCTACAATGAATGGCCATTGGATTAAAAATAAGTTATAATCACTTCTTGCATAAATTTTGATTGAAAAATCTATTTTATGCGCACCATTTACATGTTTTTTTTTATCATCAACGCCTGCAAATGCATGAATTTTAATAAAATAACAAGCTTTTTATTTGGGCCGGAATTACATCTAATGCCTACTGTGTGTGTGGTAAAGAAATAGATTTTACTTATAAATGGTCATATCAAAATGAAGAAATAATACATTAATGACATTTCTGTGCAATTTGTACAATAGCGTTTAATTAATGAGTACAAGTTACCTATTTTCGTGTTTTCGCTTATTTAAAGCTTTATACCTGTTTTTATATGATTTAGACTAGTATAACTGTAAAATTTACGACTTTTCATACTGTATGTAAATTATATAAGAGTAATTCCGGCAGTATTTTGTTACTTAATTTAAAACTTTATAAATAATTCACTGAATTGTTGTCATTTTAACTATACATATACATATTAACAATATACATGCTCTAAGTATCTTAGATAATTGCAAGTCTAATCATTTACACTGAATAAATAACATTCAGGATCAGATTCATGTGTTGATACAAAATATTTAGTCTTTTTTCATAAAAATATTAAAGCTGAGAATAGTATCCATATACATCTCAGTAGAAATAACATAAAACATGCAATTTTTGTCTTGCTGTTGTTACATAATGTAACTTGAATTTTTGATATAAAATATTCATTTTTCTCATTTTACTTATAAAAAGCATTTGACTCATTCAATAAATATTTTCGAATTTTCAATTAAAACCATTTGTTATCTATCACAATACCTACTTCAATTAATTGAATCTTTACATCACAAAATAAATACTAGATAAAAATAATCCTAGTCAGTGACAATAATTAAACTAATAATTGAATATTAACGGTGGAAAATAGCCACAAGATAGTTGCGGCTGTCAGTCTGCCGACATAGCAGTGGGCAAGTCGATAGTGCGACTTTCATTACCAAAAATTAATCTTAAGCGTTTCATAGGAGGCAGGGGACGGATAGGACTATGTTTACGATGCCGCTCCTTGGATCGACGTCGTTTCTTCAGTCGACGTGCAGTTTCAGGATCCACACCTTCTAACCTTAAAACTTCATATTCTGGAGCTTCAACTGTCCCTCCACAGTCCATTACTTCCTCCACCACTGGACTTCGTTTAACACGTAAAGTCAACTTCAGGCCCCTTCGTGGAGGTGTACATGGACAATCACTGCTTTTATTTGAATTGTCTGCCAACCAAGGAGGCCCAGATTCTGATTCCTTTTTTGTGTCTTCAGTCCGATTTGATACATCACTTTTATGATGCTTATTTGATTTACTATCCTTAGGCTCACTTGGGTTAACATTTTCTCTAAAGTCACAGATTTCACTTTTTATACATGCATCATCACTTGTATTACACTTAACATTATCTATTACTTGTTCTTTTACATTTGATATATCTTTTTCAACAGCATCTGTTTTTGCTGTAACTATTGAAGGCAGTTCAGTGTTATGATTCAGAGATTCACTTGGATCACATTTGTTCTCTGTATTTACATGTCCTGTTTCACCACAAGTTACCAATTGAGACTCTGGTTCACTATGTTCTGTTTGAGGATCTGGAGATGATTTTACTTCAACAGTTAATTTATTTACTTCTAAACTACTTTGATCAATTTCAGATTTATGTATATTATGATTTCTACTCAATTTACTATCTGTTTTAGATGAATTTCTTACTTTAGAACAAGTAGATTGTGTACATGTATCATTAAGACGTTTATGACTCCTTAAAACTATACCAGAGTGGGAATCACGGCTACTTCTCGAACTAGTAATACTACAGCAACGAGATTGAGGTGCTTGGCTTTGATTAGAAGTGGCAGTGGCAGAATTCGGTCCATTCAAAACACGGCTACTATCTGTTCTACGACGTAATCTTTCACCCCTACTTGAAGCAGAAGATTCTCTACTACCTTGGGCCTCTTTACTGGAAACTCCATCAACTACATCTGCAATGCAACCTTGGGCTATTAAGAGTTCTGCATCATACTTTGTCAACCCTTTCTGCTTCATTTCTTTCATACTTAATGGTGAAACAATATTTGAGACCTGCCTGTTAGATATTCGAGTTTTTTCTTGATTTTTACTACTAATTGTTTTTTGTGTTTGTTTTGCTTTTGTTCTATTAATTCTATTATCAGTTTCTCTAAATCTATATCTAGTAGCTTGTTCATCATTGTGAGCATTTTGAACAGAAAAAGCACCTTTGCCTCTTCTTTCACATGTTTCACATTCACAGTAACAATTTCCATTTCCAAAAAAGTCTTCCCCATAAAAGCATGTTATTTCTTCACCAACTTCAATATCTCTTAATACACGAACAAAAGCTTTTCCTCTATCAGTGGCTTCAAAAGTGCATGTTGGTCTACAATCATGATTAATGTAAGCTGCAGGGCCTAGCCATAACTGAGCACAATTTTTTCGACAACTATACATTACAGAAAAATCATTTTTTCCTGGGTGTAACAATTGCTTCTCCTCCTCTTCTGTCATCTCAGCTATACACCCGACTAAAAAATCAATCCTTTCATGTTTGAAAAACTTTTTTGTTGTTGAAATTTTGGCCCCGACCCGACCTTCTAAAGAATACCTATAACATGGTTCAATCACAAATCCAGCTTTTTTATCAAATACTCTGAGATAACGGTATATCTGAAAAAAAAATCATATTAGTATAGCACAATACAAGTAGCAGTAAACAATACTTGAAAATATTTTTACATATAAGTACTAACATGTTCTCTTAGTTTATTTTGTTGATGTTTGTTTTTACTGAAATGCCTAGGCATCCATTCACCATTAGCAAGTTTTGAGTAGGCTTTATTATAATCTTGAGTTTGAATGAATTCTTTTATTATGTTTTTTAATTCTTCTTTATTTGTTTTCAATGGCCTATAGCGAATATTCATTTTGTGTGTAGTTATCCCGAGATAAGGATCCACAATAAGTGCCGTGGCCAGATCATCGTATTCGGACAACTCGCGTGGTGTCATGCCCATTGGTTGCATTTTGTGGAGCACTTGCCTCCCTGGATAACTTGCTGATCCAACAACCATTCTGAACACCTAGAAAACAAAGACGCGACTATTGTATTATGTACATTTCAACTATCTTAGCCACGTTAAGTGTTAATCGTTATCTTTATTTCAACTTGCCAATTTCGGGAATATACATGAATTGAAAATACTAGCTGTAAATCAAACCACATAAAACGAATTGAAGCATTAGTACAAAACTGAAACACTAAAATTATAAAAGGACAAATATGGCGGACGAACACGAATCTCAAAAAAGACACGTCAAACAAATTTTCCACTTTTCTCCCATTTAATCACATAATATATAAACAATCTAAAAGGAATATTCACTAAGAATACTCCAAATTATGAAAAACTCACTTAAATCATTGAACGCCCTTAAAATGCATGATAATTTCTAATAACAATTTTCTACTTAACACTTCTTGTCGCTAGTGCTATGTGGCTCATATATTTCATACATAACGAAAAATTAAAACTATAATTGATATATTTCTTTCATTACTTATTCATAATTATTAAATTAATAATACATAGTTAATGTTCAAAAACTCAAAGGAACGCTGAAAAACAACCATGTTTTCGTGCACTTCATTCATAATATATACAGCATTTACAAAGCGTCTTAAACGCATACTTATTTTAAATGCTGTTTAAGTAGAAAATAATATACAAAGGAGATAAGTTATTATTCTATCACCTTCGTAAATTTCAACGTAACGGTAAAAGTAATCTAAATTTTAATTAATATTCTTTTTTTTATTTCCATTATTCATGTGTATTTCAATAAACAATAATTAAACTGTACGTTTTTTTGTATCAAGCCTTGCGAATGCTGTAAGTAACGCAGACAATAAATGGTTCAATGTACGAATCCATACTAATATTAAAAATGTGGGTGCTTGAGGATGGATGTTTGTTACTCTTTCACGCCAGAACGGCTGAACGGATCTGGATGAAATTAAGCACAGAGATAGATTATACTCTAGAATAGCACATAGGTTACTTTTTATCCCGGAAAAATGTACAATTCCTGTACGATATTTTTTTTTAAATATCAAGTATTCGCGTAAATCTAAGAAAGTATTACCTAGTTGTTGAAATATTTTTCTGTTCGCCTGTCTGTCCATTTCACGTAAAAAGTACTAAACGGATTTAAGCTTTTGTTATGTACATATACATCTAATCCCACAGGAAAACACAATAACTGATTCGATCGGTAGTCCTTCATACACAAATTCAATGATTTATTACATCAAAACTATGAATAGCAGCTTTAATAATTAATTAATTAGCCTTTGTGTTATTCCAGACTATAATAAATCTCTGTGCCATATTTCATCCAGATCCGTTCAGCCGTTCTGGCGTGAAAGAGTAACAAACATCCATACATTCATACTTTCACATTTATAATATTAATATAGATATAAATAACGCACAAAGGAATCTATAGGTACCCAATGATCTTTTTACCCGACTGCGCGACGCAAAGGAGGGTAATGTGTTTATCAGTCTATGGATATATGTATGTATGTTTGTTCCTATGTGGCATTTTAGAGATTAAACGCGTATGCCGATTTTGATGATTCATAATATTGATTCATAATATACGACATATTAGATTCGTCTTGATAACATGTATATATAGGCTGTATAAAAATAGTTTAAAATTAAAATGGCTGATTTTAGGTGCTAATTTGTGTCTTTAAAGAAAAATACTTCCAAACCAATCGAGAATGATGTAGAAATTAACGTTTCTAAGAGGCAATCACAAAAATATTGATAACTTATATTATGTTTAAAATTAATTTAGGATAAAAAATGGCTAAATGTAACTTCAAATGTCTAATGGATTTCTTGAAAGCAGGGCGACCAAACCTGAGTGAGAACTGGGTAAGCGAGAAAACTCTATAAGTGTGAGTAATTGCCAGATCCTATCATCTTATTCCTTTAAAACCTGTATAACAGAGAAACAGAAACCTCTGAGAAAGTCGTTTTATGGTTTCCTTTTAAACTGCGTTTTATGGTTTTTTCGTGGAACTAAAATTAGTTTTTGTTTTCTTAAATTTTGAGAAACATCAGTTTCTCGAAATTAGTTTCTAGTCAAATTCGAATGAATAATACCCATCCAATACATACATGTTTATAACTACGCATTTGCTGTATTTTAAAAAAATCTATATATGGGAAAGGCTACTCCTGTACCTCTCTATGTTAGAAACTCGCTTTAGTGAGAAAACTCCGTAAGCGAGAGATCACGTTCCCTTGAAGTCTCGCTTATCCAGGTTCGACTGTATTTTATTCCTTCGTCAACTTGTTTTTATCTTTTTAGTTAAGGGCGCACCGAGGCAATTACGAAATAATTGCGTTCGTTTGATCCCTTGCTGTATTTTTATTACTAAAACTTTAATTATGTAATTAATATAAAGGATATTTAAAGATTTATTCTATAAATCGTACACTTTAGAAACACGATTACTTGTAGTTTCCTCGATAAGAAAAACCAAAATGTTCTCTAAAAATCCAAATAAACCATTAGTGCGGCGTAAATCTCTCCCCTCCTCCCCCTTCCCGCTATCGTCATACTAAAATAAAAAGCTCGGTTATTATGTCATTGAAGGTAGATAAATATTGTAACTAATTACGGATTCCATCTGCAGTGGATGGTCGAGTCTTTTATATGGAAGACAAGTTGAAAAAGTGTCCACCTGTATGCTAAAATAGATGACGCTGGCGTACGAAGAATTACTACTATAAACGGAGTGAAGTATCCAGAGTTCAAAATTTAAAATTTTTCATGACTGAAGTAGTTAATGAAATACGAGTATAACCACAACTATTTACGTAGTTTACGTAATGTAAAAAAAAAGTAAATATAAACATCCTTGTTTATTTCTCTATCTTCCTCTAATTATAACTTTTGACGCTTCCTTTAAAATTTATCGTACGCTACTGCAGCGCCACCTTTATTGGACGCGTTTTCACAGACACTTTTTCATCGCAGAGATAGTACTCATAAGTCTACCCTCCATAGATCGAGCTCAGTGTGCTGTCAATTAGTCTGTGATCCATATGTCAATTGTCATGATGACATGATGTCAATCAATTGTCAACTGCATTAGTGAAACTTGAAAGTTATTTTACATACTTTTAATTAAAACTTTAATCTTTAGTAATTTACAGTCAACCGTAGAGTAGAGTTGCTTAGCATTTTTATATAGTTTGTGTGTAGACTGTGTAAAACTAATATACGTAATTAGAAGAAAAGCCACGGTGACTAGTGCAGATAAGATTTACGAGTTATCAGTAAGAGGACTGAGGAATTGAAATTGGAAATCTTTAGAGCGAGAACAAACTAACTTAATGCTTTATTTTTAATTTTGAAATAAATATTAATTGTGTAAAGTATTTTTCAAAGAACTATTTACCAGTAAGTATAATATTAAAATAACCTATTAAAATATTTCATTCTCTCCCATAGAATAGCCACTTACAATTAATGGCATATAATGAACATGATAAATTTAAATGTTTTATTTACATTTAGATAATTTATGATACCTTCAATATGATATCAATTCAATTTGTTATATTGTTAAATGTGTCTGATGAAATTATATTGTTTTGGGTGTAATTACATAACAACTTATGCTATTACTCTTCATTAAATTATTTTAGACAATATGGCTCATTCATCAAGTTCAACAGGAAACATAAAAAGTGGATTGATAGATTTTACAGCAGGTTCATTAGGTATGTACAAAATTTTAATGTTAACAATAAAAACATAGAACGTTTATTGTTTTTTATTTTTTAACATGTTCTTTTATTTTAGGAGGAATTGCTGTAGTATATGTTGGGCAGCCTCTAGACACAGTTAAAGTTAAAATGCAAACATTTCCACACCTTTATAAAGGGATGTATCACTGTTTGAAACAAACACTTAGAAATGATGGTATAATTCGTGGATTATATGCAGGCACAACACCTGCAATCATGGCAAATGTTGCTGAAAATTCGGTTCTTTTTGCCGCTTATGGTTACTGTCAAAAATTTGTATGTCACTTGACTGGCACTGAGGTATAAATAATTATAATAAAAGTTATTTTAAATAAAATTTATAAATTGAAAGAACTATATTTGACTGAAATAAAATTATGTTGTAATATAAATAATCAAAACAAACTATTATCTAAAGAAGATGCATAAATAATATAGTTGAAATATAAATTATTCAACATTTTAATAATATTATCATTTTTAGAGTGTGGATAAATTGTCAATGCTAGGCAATGCATCAGCAGGTTTTCTGGCTTCGTTTTTCTCATCTTTTACACTCTGTCCCACAGAGCTAATTAAGTGTCAACTGCAAGCAATGAGAGAAGTCAATGTGCAAGGCTCACAAACAGCTGTATGATGACTATTCTTTGGGTATTCCATTAAATATATATCATGATTAATTATTAATGAATTCTATAAATGTATATTATTAACTTTCACTTTCATCTCAGTTTAGAAACACTAACAATTGCCACTTTGTGCTTTACAAAAAAAAACGAGCAATAATTTCTGTTTTTTGTCATTTTTATAATTCATATAATTAAAATTGTGGCCTCATTTTTAGTATTATACAATGTACAATAGTATTATTTCACTTGTCTTTAATACAAATAATAAACAACTCCATATTTTTTCACTTTCATATTTTTTGTTTATATTGTTTTGTAATTGTAATGTTGATATGTTTAAGTTAAACAATATAGGATATTGAGAAAATAGGAGACCTTTTTTATGTAATACTAGTGACATAACCTTGCTTCACTTGGGTCGTTCCTAGGCATGTTTTATTTTTTTTGAGTGGAACCCTAATTCTTTCTGTAAAATAAAAGTAGCTTAACCCTTTGAAGATTGAAAATATTATTTTCTTTATAAAAAATACTTTAAATATACCTTATTATATATAAGCTATCAATTTTTATCAATCTTGTTAAACCTTATTTTGCATGAACATTGTGGTACCTACCCTGAAATCATATCTAATGTTGAATGTATATTGTTGATGAGTTTATTTTGCAGATACTGAAACAATATTCTTTCATATTATCTCTTCTACTTGTAGGTAAAGGTTACACCCTTACAGTTAACACAACAGATATTTAAACAGTATGGTATACAAGGGCTGTTTAGAGGACTTGTACCAACTATTATGAGAGAGATGCCAGGATATTTCTTCTTCTTTGGTGGATATGAAGGTAATAACAATGAATAATTAATAAAATGAAATAATGTCTATCTGGTAACAAATTGACTCTTTAGTAGTTCGGAATTCTTAAACAAAATTTAGAGCAATTATGTAGGCACTCGGAGTAAATGTTTGATTCAAAAAAGGACTATAAATTTTTTTTTATACTCTGACATTGTTTCTTCCCTTCTTTATGTAATTAACACAATTATATGTTTACGTATTTAATTGAAATTTTTTGGTATAATATGATGGACATTTGGGCCATAATTAAAGACAAATTTAACATTTTTCCAAGAACTGTTTATTTTCGCTTATTTAAAGCTTTTGATAGTAATATTTCTATTAACATGTCAGGTACAAGAGAATTATTAGCTAAACCCGGCCAATCAAAGGACGATATAGGTTTTTTGAAAACCATGGTCGCCGGAGCAGTGGGTGGATTAGTTCTGTGGACAATTATTTTCCCTTCAGATGTAATTAAGTCACGAGTACAAATATCAAATAAAAGCCAAAAGTTCCTAACCGTTGGCATGGAAATTATCCAAAAAGAAGGTTTGTACTACTTATTATTATATATTTATAAATTAGATTGGACATTTCATACCTACATATACTTACTATTTTTTACCGAAAAAACGTGAACTAATGCTTTTCGGCCGCAGCGGCTAATCTTACTGAGACTAGCAATCTATGCAGGAGATAATATAGTTCATAAATATACTACAAATACAAGTGCACTCTATTTCTGTCACTCTAAAACTCCAGTGGGAAGACAATTTAACAAGACCGGTGAGAGATAAGGCGCAGGATCTATAGCTTTACATGCTCTGGCAGTGCCTCTGCCAACTTCCCATCTCCGGATTTATAAGAATTTTTAACAAAAAAAAACTATTGGGTTTAATAACTACACTCAATCCGATCTGGGGCTTGAACCCACGACCGCTGGATTTGCAGCCGCACGTGCCAACCACTAGTCCAACCAGGAAGTTAAAATGTCCCATGTGAACTATAGGTATCTACTAATATTACTTGAATTCCATTTAATATTTTGCATTATATAATTTATGATTAATATAAATTACAACAATAATTCATTTTCAACAGGCGTGCTAGCACTCTACAATGGGCTCAAACCGACATTAGTACGTACTATTCCAGCCACAGCGGCTCTCTTTGTAGTATATGAATATTCAAAGAAATTTATGCATCAATCCTTTGGAGACTAATAACGTTGTTTCTAATAACATATCTTTGTAAATTAATCAAATAAATACTTTTATTGATATACTTATTTTTTTTATCTACGCCCTCATTTCTTTATGCAAATAAGACATTCTAGTGAAGGTTATGTATTGATAAATCGAATCCTTGATAATATTTGTTAAGTACAACTGTGTCAAATGATCTTTAATTCATTATACGTAGGTAGTTTATTACGTTTGTTTGTATTTTACCATATCTATAAGCGCATTAATGATTATTGATTACTATACTACTTGCGTAGTGTTTTGCTACTTTCGTTATCATATCATGATGTGCCACAATTTCAATTGTTACGTAAATATTGTAAAATACTAACGGCTCACCCACACTTTGCTCGGGGTTTTCCTTAAGTCGTTTTAACGGTTGGGATTGATTAGATAAGACTATATTATATTACTAGCATTGCCCGCGGCTCCGCCCGCGTTCAGATGACCAAAAACCAAATTCTTAGGTTTACATATTAGTATACTCTTACATTGCAGTTTTTGTATTTTTTCTCAGAAATGAGATATTTCCCCGCGGTAAAAAGTATCCTATATATTGACCCGGATAACCAGCTATCACCATACCAAATTTCAGCAAAAGTACTCCAGTAGTTTTTCTGTGATACGGTAACAGACAGACAAAAATTCTAAAAACTATAGATTCGTCCTCTGTATCGATAATAATATCAATTTCAATAAGATTTTCCAAAAAATATTTAATGTACAGATTCGGCTTAGTTACAATTTTATTATATGTATAGATTATGAACAGAATACAGACTGATATTCTCTGACTCTGAGATCACCTTTCCTCAAAAATTTACGTTAACGTCGTAACGTCCAACCTTTCTCTAAGAATAACCGGTAACCATTATTATTTTGGTTTACTAAACCGTTTGTTTTCATTAACCGGTTAAAGAATGACCGATGAATTAACCATTAAATTACCGAAATAAACCGTTTTTTTAAACTGGCTCCGAGGCCTGCATCTCATTATGATGCTGCAAGAACCAAGTGACATACTTTTTTACGTGATGGCCTGTCTAATTTTATTGGTATTATAAATTACTTGCGGCTCACCCTCGTTTCGCTTGGGTTCGCCTGTAGAAAAACAAATCTATCTCTCGGGAACCGTATATTTTTCCGGGATAAAAAATAGCCTGTGTTATTCCAGACTATAATCTATCTCTGTGCTAAATTTCATTCAGATCCGTTCAGCCGTTCTGGCGTGAAAGAGTAATAAACATCCATACATACTCACAAACTTTCACAATTATAATATTATATACTAGAGAAATCCGCGGCTTCGCTCGCGCTAAAACTAGAAAAAAATCCATAAAGGATGAATTTAGAAAAATTCTAAAATACGTATTTATTTAATTTTATTGAAGAGCATTAACACCAAGTTTCAAGTAATTCTGATCATAAATATTTTTTTGAATTGTATTATAACATGTTTTCCCGTGTGAATTAGATAGGTAATCACCTAAAAATCCAAAATCACGCCAATCCGTCACTCCGTTTCGACGTGAAAGAAGGACAAACAAACACACTTGTCACTTTCACATTTATAATATTAGTATTGAAGTATAGATTAAAGACTAATAATAATATGAATCTATGATATATGGTATAGAGTTACTAAGTCAGTGTCGATGACAATAATCTTTCTCAGTAAATGGTTTTTTACAAATTTTGTAACCCGTAACTTTAAGATTTACGGTAGACTGTTCACATTCAGTATAATCAAAACTAAATATATTTAGTCAAATGAATAATGACAACAATTATCAAGTTGAAAATATTTTACACTACAGCAGAAAATCCTTCAAGAAGAATCAGAATGGAATATCAATAGAGGCCTACGCAAATGGCAGAAGAGAAGATGTAAATGAGGATCTAGATTCACCAAGAAGCGAGAAAGTAACAGTGGACTCGGCGGGCTGTAGTTGCGACATAGACGCAGATGGCGAAATAGCTAATATTCTTCACAAAAAATGTCCAGTAATTGCACTCGCACAGCAACAACTTCAAAGACTTTTAGACGACACGGATAAGTTACTTGGTGAGAACATTAGATGCTACAGGTGAATCTAGCTTGTAATGGTTAAATAATATGTACCTACTTAGATATATTACTTAGACTTTAGGATTGTCAGACTGTTTTATGTAATAAGTTAATTCGTTCCAAATAGAATCGAAACTTTATTTTTTGTCTTCTAATCTTTTCCTTAGTTTAAAAAAATACGAGTTTGATATGCATTCCTAAAAAACTTAATAAAATAAAATAAGAACCGACTAGTCCAGGCACTAAAATTTATAAAAAGTAACTAAACGGAGGGTTTTATATTTCTTTCGCCAGTTCTTCTCAGGTCTGAGGTTTCTTCTTTCCGAATTGTTTAAAAAAATAATTTATTTATTGATTAAAAAAAAAACCGCTCGACCGATTTCGTCAAAATTTATATGGGACCACCTGGGAAGTATACGCTTTGAAACAAAAAAAATCCAAATCGGTTCAGGCATCTTCGAGTAATCGGTGAACATACATAAAATAAAAAATTTTTAACAAAAAAATAAAAACCGACTTCAAATAAAAGCACTAAAAAGTAAAAAATAACTGATTGGTAGTTTTCATTTACTATACATACCTAATCAAATATTTTCGAAGTCGGTGTGCTTTGCTTTGTATGGGCTGGCACCGATTTCGAAAATATTTGATTAGGTATGTATTTAAAAGGTAGGCTTTAGTTACTTAGCCAAAGCACACCGACTTCGAAAATATTTGATTAGGTATGTATAGTAAATGAAAACTACCAATCAGTTATTTTTTACTTTTTAGTGCTTTTATTTGAAGTCGGTTTTTATTTTTTTGTTAAAAATTTTTTATTTTTCCCTTTTTAGTGTAGACAGTAGTAGCAAAGTAAGAATTCTAACGTATTAGGCTTGTCAAATCAAACAAAATAAGCCCAAACTCAAAGTATCTACTATTAGCCGTTGAAGAGTTCCACCTATCCACCTTCTGGCCTTGCCATCAGATCAGGTCAACAACACCGAACCACTATACTATCAACGGAAATAGAAATACTTGCAAACTTACAAGTCAATATGACAATTAGAAGTAGGTTAAATTCATAATTTGTTGTTTTTCCACCCTTAGGGGTGGTATTTTTTTTTGAAATTTAAATGGGACCAATCTGGAAGTATACCCTTTCAAACAAAACAAAAATTGTCCAAATCGGTTAATAATGACGGAGTTCTGAGGTAACAAACATAAAAAAAAAAAAAAAACATACAGTCGAATTGAGAACCTCCTCCTTTTTTGGGAAGTCGGTTAATAAATGTACCTAAATCTTCCTCGCATTGAGAGGAGGCTCATGCCCAGCATTGGGACTATAATATAGGCTAATTACAATTGATATATATATAATAATCTGAAATTAAGAAAAACGTGTATCCAAAATATAGATAAAAAAAAATTTTTTTACTTACAGATCTACCTACGACTTTTTTATGTTCTGCAAAGATTGCCTACTGGATCCAAATAAATGTCGATGTGTACTTCTTATTTTAATAGTATTAGCTTTATTTCTCGGTCTTATTCTCGGTGCATCTACGTGTGGATCATGTTTGCGTAAATTTAACAGTCCTATACTAAGATGTATCGACAACTTTTTCATATATGATACATATTCAAATATAGATGAAACTTTTAAAGCTATTGTATAATTTACATAAAATGTAATTATTGAAGAAGAACGTTTAGATTTTAGAATATCCTATTTAACTTTGAGAGCAATTTTAGATATAGTAACTACCTATAGTTTATTTAGGGTATTATAAATATTATATACTTACATATTACTTTTTATTTTCATTAAATTCCCTTTTATATTTACACAGGGTAGGTAATTGCAAAGATTTACCTCGACGAAAGAAAAAATTGTATTAATTTGAATTTTTTCATACGGAAACTATTGATAAAAGATTTTTCTATAAATAAGAAGCTTAAGTAAATTATTATTATATAAATGTAACAAAAAAATCTTTAATGACTCGCAACCACTTTTACATAGACAGACGTAGTTTATCAGGTACCGAAAAAAAAATAGCTTTAATTTGATATATAAATGATGAATATACGCCATGAACGTATAAATTCAAAACAAAATATGACCTGCTTACACCTGGCTGCGAAGAGGTTGCGGCCAAGTGCGGAACGGCAGCTATCACTTTTCAAGATCTCTACGTATATTTCTGTGAAGTTAAATTCATTTTAAAAACAAATACATTGTTTTTGTTGCAAAAAGTCAATTCATTCAACAATTAATTCTTCCTCGGTGGTGTAGTGGCTAGCATGTACGGCTGCACACCCGGAGGTCCTGAGTTCGAGTCCCGGGTCGGGCCAAGTTTAGTTATTGAGTCTTTCTGTATAGTAAGTCGCAGTAACAGCCCGGAGTTGGGAAGTTGGCGGTGTTTCACCCCCATGCCTCGGAGAGCACGTAAAGCCGTCGGTCCTGCGCCTTAACTCTCACCGGTCGTGTCGAGCAGTCGTCCCACCGGAGTATGAGAGTGATAGGAATATAGAGTGCACGTTGTGTCTGCGCGTACACTTGAGCACTATAATATCTCCTGCGCAGTTGGCTAGTCTCAATGAGATTGGCCGCCGTGGCCGGAATCGGCTAGGAGAAAATCATCATTGAATTAAACATACTAGCATTCACATTTTAATAGGCACCCCGGTCAAAATATATTGTCCCTTTTATTATTGTATATAAAAAATTGATTTTGATTAAATATGATATGAACGTAGCAATCTTGCAGCGGGATCTTAGTCCATATGTATTTGTCTCTTTACAGTGTTGCATTTCTGTTTCAAGATTCAAATCAGAACAATTCTAAAGATGTTTCACTTCATGCTTCAAAAGATGAAAACAAGTCAAGGAAGGAATATAGTACCTATTAAGCAATCTATATCTACCTAGTTTATAGTGATATGTCTAATCAAATATAAAAATTATAGTAGGGGAGCCCAAGAGGGGATTTTCTGTAGTTACTCGAGCGCGGCAGATTAACATAAAAGAGGTTACCTTGCACTCTATTGAGTACTTTCACCACAATATAAGTCTTCTATATAAAGAGGCGCGTCTAGGGAAGCCGATTAAAATATTTAAAAAATGTTTTGATAAGGTAAAAATACTTGAAACCGTCAGATTAAGGTGTGGTAGGTCATCATAGATCATCATAAACTTTATAGTCGATTTTTGCCTCTTCGGCTTGTGCAAATCGGCAGATTATTGAATTGGACACTTTTCAGAATGTGACTAGCCTACCACACCTTAATCTGACGGTTTCAAGTATTTCTACCTTATCAAAACATTTTTTAAATATTTTAATCGGCTTCCCTAGACGCGCCCCTTTATATAGAAGACTTATATTATGGCGAAAGTACTCAATAGAGTGCAAGGTAACCTCTTTTATGTTAATCTGCCGCGCTCGAGTAACTACAGAAAATCCCCTCTTGGGCTCCCCTACTATTACGCAGTCTAGTTTTATTTTTTACTAGCATTGCCCGCGGCTGTGCCCACGATCAAATTACCGAAAACCAAACTCTTAGGTTTTACATATTCGTATACTCTTACATTGCAGTTTTTGTATTTTTTCTCAGAAATGAGACATTTTCTGCGGTAAAAAGTATCCTATATGTTGATCCGGATAACCAGCTATCACCATACCAAATTTCAGCAAAATCCCTCCAGTTGTTTTTCTGTGATGCAGTAAGAGACGGACAAAAATTCTAAAAACTATAGATTCTGCCTATGTATCGATAATGTTTATTTCATTAAGATTTTCCAAAAAATATTTAATGTACAGATTCGGCTTAGTTACAATTTCATTATATGTATAGATTTTTTTCTATGTTAATTAACAGCATGTTTTTTTATTAGAATTGCTAAGGAAAAATAAGTACAGCTTAAATTATTTTAAACTATATTATGGAGAATCACATCTTTTTAAAAAAACTATTGCGGCTTGACAATACATGAAATTTTTACTTCCCGATTTTTTTAAGTAACAGAATAAATAGAATTACCTTACAACCTTGTAGTTATTACTGCTATTAGATAGTTGTTAAGTGAGAAATTGCTATGAAAAATTAATTAAATTGGTATAGGCATCAAATATTAAATTAGCCTTACATACCAATAATAATAGTAATATATTCAAAGTATACATTTACTTTTTGAAGATTTTATTACATGTATAGAGGTACAGGCAAAGTCGAGATTATCAACTAAAAAAAAATTATACAATTATACCTAATTCAAGACTAGCAAATTATGCTAACCATCAATTTAGAAAGGGAAAGACTTCTGTTGTTACAGAAATTTTTTTATGAGTATGATTCTAAAATAAATTCTTATCTATTTTCAGAACTTATTATTAATGGTCTTAACAATAATTACAAGCAGTGGAACTCCTCACAAGTTTCATTAAGATGCTTTACATACTGCAAAGGATTTCAATATTTATTAATTTAATTAAATTACTTTTCCTCACACCACTCATTTTCTTTACGAACTTGTTCTTCCTCTGATGCTGTAAAATCATTTTTAATATTAAAGGTTTTACGAATTTCCTCTGGTGTTTTACCTTTAATCATATTTGCGACTGTTTTGCAAGTAACATCTAAAAGGCCTTTAATATCTAAATAATTAGCAGCCAAAATTAATTCAAATAGTGTTCCCTGGTCAACTTTCAAGAAATCTGCATCCCAAGATGAAATATCGTCAGTTCGCTTTTCTTTATTTTCATCGTCTTCTGGAATTGGTGGATCATCCTTATGATATGTGGCCCATTGAATAACTTTCTTTAGAATAGCCGAATTGACATTAGGCAAAGGAACTACTTCTTCCTCGTCATCGTCCATACCCAAATCTTCTAACATTGTTTTAATTGTAACTGAACATTTAGCGATTTCCACATCAACATCAAATATTTCGTTGTCAGACGATTGTATTTTGATGTTCGGCATCTGTAAAAGTTATTATTTTTAAATCAAGCTTTTATGATTTCTCAATAAATGACGCCATCTTTTTATAAAAATAGTTTTTAGCATTAGCTCACCTTTTAATCTATGGGTTATCTTAAGAATGGTTACTATTTTAGTGTATTAGGTAAAATTCATTAAAACATGCACTGTTTAAATTTTAACTTCGGAGAAAATAGAGAAAATGCAGGATTATTGCAATGCAAAATGCTCAATAGACTTGTAGTGTAAAATGTCAGTTATGACCACAGACTCAGAAGTCAGAGTACAGAGTATACTACAGACAGACCAGAACAAAATTGTGACTGTAGTCTGTACTCTGAATGTAATGGCGCGGCTATATTAGGCGCGCGAAATGCGAATATTCGTGTCGCGTTGGCGCGATAAAAACATCGTATACGCGATGTTCTTGTCTACATATAAGCAGTCAATGTGTTCGCCTGTTTCGCGGCCGATGTAGGCGATAATTCTTGCGAAGTAAAATGGAAATTGTATTGTTTGTCGGTAAATTATAATTATTATTGAGTGAATACCATTTAGATTTAGATGTGAGCTTATTTTTAATTCTAACCCACGCATCATATACCAAAATTTTTCCTTTTGTGGTCGGGGTTACGAGAATCCCGTATAAATTATAATACTCTCCGTTTCATAAAATTGAAAAAGCTCCAATATTTTTTCATTGCTCCAATCCATACTGTAGTTGCTTTGTAACTCGTCCGCCTAAATATCACACGTCCGTTCCGCTCAAAGTCTGGACTGCAACTCGAGTGGCGAAGTTAGCCACTGGCTACTAGCCAGGCCACGCAAGCGAGTATTGACGCGTTAAAACCCTTTGATGCGCGCCAGTTTACCAACAGTGCCGCGATTAGCATTTGTCATCGCCCGAATACTACGCGATGCGCCGAACTACTCGGCCACACTTGTCGCGATAACATGAATATTCGCCGTATCCCACTAATGTAGTCACACCATTACTGAGAGTGTGAATACACTTAACACCTCTAGGTAAAATTTTAGAAATTAATTAAAGTTCTAAGAAATCTATTGTTAACTGACACGCTTGCGTGTCCGCGGTCGTGGAGGGGTTATTATTTCTTGTATAATAATACTTTAACAGACCGATTTGCAGATCATGTTGATTTTGAAATAATTGAAAGTCATTCAGTTTTAGTCATTATTCACAAGTTAGTTAATAAATTTTATCAACCATATCATTTTTGCTATTCATAAAAGTTGTGTAATTCATAGGACTTAGTTTGAAAACAATAGGGAAGATTTCTTGAAAGGAGGGCGCTACATATATGATCTATTTACATTCAATCTAAAGTTGTAGGTAGTAAGTTATAGTTGTAACTTGTAAGCAATTTGCAATTTGTAATTTGTATGAAACTCTGTCATTCTTAATGTGAAATACACAGAAAGCTAAACACCAGTTTAGCTTTAAGATAAAAAATAAGAAATATATTTATTATCGAAATTCATCCGATAAAAGGGTAAAAGGGGTAATAAAGTTTATATGGGCAAAGAATTATCAGAATCACTTGAAACTTGGTATAAATGCTCTTCAATACAATTAAATAAAACGATGTTCACATACGAGTAGCTTTGAATATAAAGATTATGATTTCACCAATTTTGATTGTCATATTGCTATCCACAATTTATCCAATTTTTGGTTTTTTTTTTTTGGAAACAAAGTAGTCCAGGATACAGAGTCCATTTTTGTAATTGATTACTTTATAGCTAATTTTCCGTGAGTATCTACTAAATTTTCATGAGATGCCCAACTTTTCCTCTTACAAAAATTCTCTATTGTGGTAGCTAACACGGATAGCAGGGATAAAATGTTGATTTGACGATTCTCAAAAATTTATTAATGTGGGCTTTTTTGTTAAATCTCAAGATAATTATCTAAATTATTCGAAAAAATATTTCTCCTACAATATGTATGGTTTAATCAAAGAGTGAGTGTGTATCAAAGAGAAGGAGGGGCCTTCCAACATGTATCGATAACGAGGTCATTCAAATTATAAATGATTGCTAACCATCTGATTTTTTTAATATTAATATAATTTTACAGCTATATTGTCCATAAAATCAGGTGGTACTTTATCGCGGTACTCCAATTAATTACATATTTGATCCTATATGCAGATTTTTGAGTAAATATATAAAAATGAATTGTAGTTTTTGTATATATTGTGTTTTCTGTTGTAGGTCCCGATTTTACAACAAATTGCTTTGTTTCTACATGTAATCAGATTAATGTTTTTTAGAACGTAGTTCCTTATCGCGCATTACATGCTTTTCAGCGGATGGGAGCGAGACTGAAAAATCAAAAGTGTGAAAATAGATTTTTCCGATACTTCTTGCTATTGTTACAGCCGTCTATGAACTATAATGTAAAAAGTGCCCGATCTATAATTCTATATATCACGCCTTCTCCATTCTAATTTCTATGCGAAATTGCCGAACTGTGAAGTAAATTGTGCCCAGAAGCACTTCTAGAAGCCACGAAACTAAAGAATTAAGAATTGAAGTGTATGTGTAAGAAATAAATAAGTTTATAAACATCAAGGAATAAATTATTTATTACCATAAGTAAATAGCAATTTAGCTAAAAAAAACTTAAAAGTATTATAGAAAGCACCAGTTAACAAAAGTAAATTGATTAAAATTTAAATTGTATACATTTATAAACAATATATTTTTAGTATATGCATTGTACATATAATTTTTAGGATAACAATATAGTTTTCTTAAAGATCATTATAATATATTCTTTGTTACTCTTAAGAAAGACAACTACACAGATATTAGAAAAAATATTTAGGCTTACACATAGTTTCAAGACAATATGAATGTAGCCTCTACAATAAACATCAATATTCCTATTCTAACACTACTTTGAATACTCTACTTAACCCTCATAATATATTAACACACACAAAAGCTTTGGCATATTTTTTTTTATATTTCTACGAACTTCACAATTTTAAGTTGTGTTTAAAAAAATCTCAAAAATTATTACAAAATTTCAATCTTCTACATATCTGGAATTTGTTTTCAAAACATTTGTAAAGAAATGTTTGTCCTTTTATATATAATTCAGTATCTAAATTGTTTTACATAATTTTTCATAACTATTTTGTCAATTTTCTTTAGTGTTCTGTTAACACGAAAATAATGTATACATTAACTTTTAAGTACAATTTGGCTACATTGAATTTATTTTCCATTATATGAAATATTTTCTTTAGTTATTTGAATAACCAAGTCTTTCCTTCAAGCGAAAATAAACTTTAAGGATAGGACGTAACACAGTGAATATCATAATTAATAGAACTAAGACTAGACTAGTGTATCGTAATATTTCTCCAAAACTCCACCAGCCAGAAAAAGTGCCCAATATTATAGTTATTATACCAATACAAAAAGTTAGGAGACCAAACGATGCATGGAGTAATTTTGTGTAAATTGGAGCCAGATAATGCTTCAGTTTAAGACTATAAAGTGCACCAAGGCCACCTAAACTAGTACAGGTCATAAATATCATAGCTGCTAAACCAAATTTACCATGTAAGGATGTAAAATGTTCTTTGTTGTGTATAATTTTATTAGAAAGAATAATAAAAAATCCAATAAAAAGAATTAATATGGTAAACAATTGCAATACCCAATGACGCGCACTTCTCAACCTTATAGGCATCCATTCAGTAGCTAAATCTCCCGGTGTAACAGCATTTACTGCAGAAGTCATAAATATCAGCCACTGAAATAGAAAATTCAAGAGATGTGATATTAAAAAAATTAAACTTTTATGAATTCAAACACGTCACAAATTGTATTTGAAGAAGAAATGGCATTTATAATAATTATTATCAAAATATGAGACAAACATGTGGTAATAAAAATATAATCATGATTTATAAGACAAAAAATACCTTGTTTTTCTAATTATTTATTTCATTAAATTCATATTATTAGATACTTACGCCTATTGTCATTAAAGTTGGATGAAATGAAAATAACGATAATCCATCTTTAAAACAACAGTAAGTAATAATTCCAGTAAAAACAAGAGCACATATATTATTTATAATATTCAAGTAACTTGGTTTTGCATTATTAGAAGGCGGAACAAGTTGCGATGTCTCCGATGTTCTCTCAACAGGGGCCATTTCTGTTAAATTCTGACTGCTTTCGCTCTTATTCTCCATCTACATATCACTTCCACAATATATATTTATATTCCTTTTTTTGTTTAATCTTTTTCACCAAAATCTAAATTCGCGAATCGTGATCAATATTTTGTTTTCGCACACAAGTTTCAAAATCTATAATCTAGTCTCTCTCTCTAATTCTATAATCTATAGTCTATGTCTTTACGCTCTATCGACACGACCGACAGGATATAATCCGTTTTCCAATTAGAGCACTAAAGCGTATTATGCGGCATAAAGCTAATTTCGAATGTTTCAACTACAGCTGCTGCAACGCATTACAGCAGCAGCTCGACGAGCAGTTTGAAAACTACTGCTTTGGCGTGATGCGCGCAAAGATACCAACTCCTACTCCTTAGCAGAGAATCTATGAAGTGTTTTTTCTTCAAGGTGACATTTGATCAAAATTTTATTTACAATTATTATAGTAATATTGTTTATTGTTGAACTTATTTGTATAGCTTTCGACGTAGTCTGTTCAAATATAAAAAAGTTAATTTATACTATGTTCATAAAAAAAATGTAAGTATCTATGAAGCTTTAAGGAGGCATTGATCAAAACATAACAATATCGTTAGTAATATTTGTTTATATTATTATATTTATCAGTTACTTATATTTTTTCTTTCAACACTGAACCTGTGCCCTGTACCCTCTGCTGGTGCACTTGAAAACTAATTCACGTTCCAATTAAGCATTAGCACACTTCGGTATTATGGGCCAAATTGCGGCATTATTCTCTGATCTGTAATTGGAAAATAGATCTCCCACTGCTGGGTACGGGCCTCCCTTCAATACGCTGGCCAAGAGCGGTTGGCGGACTTCACATGTCTTTTGAAAACTTGTTAGGTTTTCTCAGACGTGCAGGTTTCCGCACGATGTTCTCCTTCACCGTAAGGCAAGACGTAATCTAGTTAGAAATAATTCGCAAATGAAAATATCAGAAGTGCGAGACCTGGGATTCGAACCCGCTTCACTCGGTTTCCGAGTTCCATACAAACTTTCATCGCCCATTTTATTCCCTTATGGGATTGAATTTTGAAAAATGCTAAAACACATAGTTATTTAATTGTATTGAAGAGTAATAATAATAAGTTTCAAGTAATTCTTATCATAAATAATTCTTTGCCCATATATACTTTAACCCCCTTTTACCGCTTTGATGGATACATTCGAAAAAAAAAACAAATAAATATACATATATCTTATTTTTATCTTAAAGCTTACTATGTACTTTCTATGTAGTTCACATTAAGAATGAATGAATTTCGAAAAATTCTTTCTTATCGAATGCCTACATCATATAAGGAATACGTCTTCCAAATTTCATATTTCTACGAGCAGTGGCTTAGGTTGGTGATCCATCAGTCAGTCATGGCCACCGCATGATTCATCTCTCCTTCTCAATTCTTCCTTCAGCTGGTCTAACTTGCAGGTACAATACATTGCACAGGTAAGATGCTAACACAATAGAAACAGAAAACAAAAGAGATATCACAATAAACTCCTTAATCTCAGACTGAATGTAAATAGGCCATACGTGTAGCGCCCTCCTTTCGAGAAATCTTCCCCATTGGAAAACGCCCACTACTTACTAGTGTGATCATTATGTCTTGCTCTATCGCACTATATTTGTATAAAGCTATTCCTTTTCTTTCGAATATTTTTTAACCAATGACGGCATCTGAAATGTGAGCAGTGTAGAACTATCCATCTCTGTCTTATATAGACTATGGATGAGACAAAAAAAATCATGTGTTTTGAACAAGTTGTGACTTGTTTAGTTTACCTACAAAATGTTCATTTGTGATTTGCAAACAATTTTCTGCTTCAGTCATTGTTTTGAATTGTGTGATGTAGGACGTGTCGCTGTTTCTCGTAATTTTCATACATATTATGCGATTTTTGGTTAATTTTACAGTTAGTCAGAAAAAAATAGTGTTCGATAATAGTTCTAGTAGCTGTTTTCTATTGAAAAATTATTAAAATATTATTGATGTGTAGTGAAAAAATAAATTCTTTTCTACTATTATTTTATGATTAGAGAACATATATAGTGCCGTATATTTACATAAGTTTTGAAAGCTTCAATATGCTACGGTAAGTCATTTTCTATATAATTGTACCTATTATATTTTTCATAACCATACTATCTTGAGCTGTTTAGTTTCACAATAATTACTAGTAGTGTATTTATAGTGTAAAATTAATAGAATACACCTTTACAGGCAAATTAGGTTATTATATTAGTAATGTTTTTAAATGATTAAGCGCTTCAAAATTAATTTGAGTGCCCATAAACATCATTTATAAAGTTATGTAATTTTTTATCTATACTTTATTAAAACTGTAGAGATCGTCGAATGTCTGTACATAGAAAAAAAATATGCTAAAAACCGAGTCAGTCATATTCATCATCATCAGTCATATAGAACAAAGCCAGATTTTTTTCAATTTTTTTGTTTCTCTGTCTGTTTGTCTGTTTGTACGGGCTAATCTCCGGATCTATTGGCCCGATTTAAATGAAATTTTGCATGGTGGTACCTTATATCCCCAGTCAACATCTTAAATACTTTTCATCCCGGAAAACTAAAGAGTTCCTGTAGGATAGTTAAAAAACTATAGTAACTTATACAGCTTAGTACACAAAAACTACTAATTGGGTTTTAATGAAACTTTGCAGTAATATAGCTCATACATCACAATACCAAATAGGCTACTTTTATCCCGGAAAAATGTACGGTTCCCGTGGGATAGTTAAAAAACTGGCTCGTCTTTTATAAACACATCCCCTAGTAGACTCTTAATTTTTTTTGTGTAAAGTACTTATTATCTTAAGTAGTTCCTCAAAGTTTCAAGTAGAGGAAATAAATACTTTCGGAGATAAAAAATATCAAAGTTTGATAAATATAACCTCAATTCTGCACTATTTTATTGCTCTTGACGTAATTTTGACAGAAGACAGAAATGTTGCTATTTTAGGGAGTTTTAATTATGTGTTTTGATTTTGCAAAACAGAAAGAATTGTTGCCATTTTAGGTAGTTTTAATTATGAGTTTTAATTTTGCAAATAATAAGCACTTCAGACTATACGCTTATGTTGCAAAATCGCTCCTATTGCAACCGAATAAGATGCCACCAGCCACAGTATTTACCTTAATCGCTGTCGTCCGTACTCCCGCGCTCATAGCGTGTCAACCGAATGACAGCGTTATTAATATCTATACTAATATCATAAATGTGAAAGTGTGTTTGTTTGTTTGATTGTCCTTCTTTTACATCGAAACGGTGTAACGGATTGGGGTATTTTTTTGGGTGAAGATAGTTGGGAGGGCTGGAGAGTGATATAGGCTACTTTTTACCGCGGAAGATTATCTCATTTCCACGGGAAAACACGATAAAATACAACCAAAAAAATATTTATGATCAGAATTACTTAAAACTTGGTATTAACGCTCTCTTCAATACAATTAAATAAATATATGTTTTAGCTTTCTTCGAAATTTATCCCGTAAGGGGGTAAAATATGGGGATGAAAGTTAGTATGAAAACTACCTTTTTAAAGTATTTTTTTGTAGTTTTAGCGCGAGCGAAGCTGCGGGTTCTGCTAGTATTTTATATTTAATTGCTCTTTGGAAACCGCTGTACTAAGGAGAGTACATAGGAAACTTAATTATTTAAAAAAAAAATATATTGAATACTCAGTTTTAGTTCTAATTTAAATATTAAATTTTTTACTATTTAATCATGCGCAAAAAGTACGTACTTGTGATTTTCTCGTTAAATAAAATTTACGATAATGTAATTGTTTTTAAAACAATTACTTTAGTTTTCTATATATTTTTTAGTATATTTCATATATTTTTTCTATATTTCTATATATTTTTAATTAAATTTTATTGTAAAGCTTATTTGTATATGCGATACCTAAATGAAGTGTGACCAAGTTAACATTTTTTTTTGTCTTTGTTAATTTTATAATGATATAATGACCATGTATTGAATAACTTTACTTTAGATGAACAATTATTTGATAAATATGATTGCAGTTTATTTAAATAAAGATATATATATATATATATATATATATATATATAATAATAAGATCAATGAAATCAATTGCCCATATAGATATTCATTGTGTACAAAATATTTACACATTATATATACAAATCTTCCTCGTTTATCGCTATTTCTATTAGTGAAAACCGTATCAAAATCCGTTGCGTAGTTTAGAATATGTAAGCGGAGAAACAGACAGACGCAGACAGCGACTTTGTATTATACTATGTATAGATAGATATCCCTATTGAACATCAAGTGAAGTACCTACGTAATAAATAATAATATTGCATCATACAAACAGATAAAATGCACACTCCTGTAAACCGGAGTATACGCGGCAACGGGCTTAAATTGTTTTTTTTTCTTTTTTGCATAGCTTGTGCCTTGTGATACCCCGTGAATGGTACTGGCTATCGGCCGATGAGATGAGTCATGTTTCTTACTTAGGTCGCCTCTCCTGGCGAACTCACAGCGATATCGAAAAATAAATTATTGTCGTTAGCTTTTTATTCGCACAAAACAAAGTAGGTAGTGCTAACAAGTAGATATTCTGTATTCCTAATAATAAAATTGTTAACAATTAATAATTTAACATACATTTAAGCTTATTTTTGCCAAGCTCTGCTTTTTTTTAAATTTGAATGGTAATGTTTGTATTTAAGTACTTCACAGATATAAAACATTATAACAATATTATATACGAGGCCTCCTACAACGTTTGTGATCAATATTTGGAGTCTCAAGGTTATCTAACTACTAATAAGATGAGCAACTCATGAAGTTACGCGTATATAATCACTTGATAGAGCGAAGTTTACGCTTCAAGCTTCCTAAATAAACCAAACCAAACCAAAATCGATTGACGATTTTCCGGATAATTATAATTTCACTAGTGAAGTTATAATTTAAAGAAACTTACAATTGCCTTATGAATTAATAAAATTTTCGTTATTTTAGATCTTCAAGTATCGATATCTCGAAATTAATAAATATATCGAATTCCATAAAGAAAACATTTTTCAATTTTTGAGTATTGATATCTCGAAAACTAAGCAAAAGATATTGAAATATTTTATTTTTACTTTTCGATTTATTTCGTCGAGATCTATACAAAATACAAAACCGGCGCCGAGCCGCGGCTGTAAGAACCGTAGTCTTGCCAAAAAATAAAGCATTAACACAATCACAGACAATAAATGTATAATACATAGGGATAGGTATGTAATGATATTAACTGATAACAAGAAGTAGTTGTTTCTACTCGTAGTTGATTTAGCATTATTGCAACAAAAATTATGAAAATGATAATTACATATTATTAATTAGTTTTGGATTAATACGATATACCTAAAAATTATGTTTTATTTAAATCATATTTCGTAAGTAGGTAAGTAATCTTTAAGGTTCAGATTAGAAAAATTTTGGATTTTATTTTGATAAGAAAGCTTGAAAGCTTGAAAGTTCAAGTTGTGACACGTTCGTAAGCTGATTCTAAATTGTATTCACAGTAACGGATAAGCTATTTGAGATTAAGTAATTAAAAAAACAATAGACGATCTATAGTAGAATTTAAAATAGTTTTGTTAAAAAAATTATTACGTAAATGTTAAAAGTTTGGTAAAAAATGTGGTAAGGGTTCGTATTAATTCGAATATACTTGTTCAAACTCGATTGAGTATGCCGTGTATTGTTCTTTATAGCAGGTAACAAATTAGGGATGTATTTACGACTCCTGTGACAAGTACTGACATGTTAAATCAAATAAAGTTGAATTAAGGGCAGTAATTACATTTTTTTTTGTAAAAAGATTACCAAAGAAATTCTAGATATTATTCAAATCACTACATATTATAAAACAAAATCCTTCGCTGCGTCTGTCTGTCTGTCTGTTCGCGATAAACTCAAAAATTACTGCACCGATTTTCATGCTGTTTTCACCAATGGATAGAGTGGTTCTTGAGGAAGGTTTAGGTATATAATTTGTTAAGTTTTTATATACATTCGCTAAAATATAACTATATTTGTTAGAGGTGTCGGAAAAAAATAAGCCGTCTAGGAGCTTTCAACGAAAACGCTGCCTAAATCCTTTGAGATATAACAAAATAATATGCGGTGAAATTGTGTATCTTATATAGGTCTACAGAAAATCTCTATCTCAATCGATCATTGGTCCATCTCTTATGGATAACATTTTACTTATATCCATTTAAATTTAAAACGTACCTTGACGAACCCGAGCGAAGCGTGGGTGAGTCGCTAGTTAAATATAAATTATATTTTATAACATTGTAAAAAATATAATAAGTTACAGGCGCATGTGCGTGGTTTTTTATTATACGACCAAAGAGAACAATTTTCCATAGGTTCCATATCTTTAAAAATATTCTGAATTTTTATCTTTAAAATTGCAGAAATAATTAAAAAATATTTTTTTTTTCGTTACTCGATTATATTTGTGCTAGCTATCGTAATTTGACCGAAAACCATCTAATATAAACTTAAGCGACCCGAAATCTTGTAACTCGTATAAAAAATATTTTTATTACACGTTCAAAACCTTTATCTACGTCTAGATCATCTCACCACAAATCAAATTAAAACAATAAAAAAACCGACAGCGTATAAAGAGAACTCGGCACATGTAGCAAGACTCGCAGCAAGTATAAAATACTCGTTTAAGCTGTATAATACTATGTTATGGATATGTATTGTAGGTATATTTATGTAACACTACCCATATCGCACCTCATTTTCGTCTTCTACTTCTACAGTTACTAACTCGAAGGCTGTCTGAAAGAAATCGTTAACAAGCTATTTATAACAATATTCTTTCTATCTCACACTTGATTATTTTTTTAATATATTATTATATATTGTTCTATGTAAAATGCAGTGTATATAAATTTAAATTTATATATTACATAAAAATCAATTCTATAATATATTCTCGTTAAAACCCAAAAACAGCTGGACCGATTTCAATAATTCTTTTCTCGTTTTGTCGAGGTGGGTCAAGGGTGGTTTAAGTATAAAAA